CTCGGGTTCGAATTTATCACTTGTGTTGGGCAAGGCCGTGGTCTTGGCAACACGGAGTTTTCCTCCGTGGCATCCCCACAATTACTCCATTCACACACAGAAGAAGGCAATGGCAAACCACTTCTGGATCATCTGCCAAGAACGTATATGAACAGGTCCCAGTCCGAGAAAAGGATGGACGGATCCTGTTCATATGGACCTGTCGTCAGACAGAACACTACAAATAAAAATAAAAAGGTAGAGTGCTAGGCTTAGGGTTTTATAATCTCAGGGGAACATCTTCACTATCTGATTGACTCCGTCAGCGCCGTGGAATAAACATTGGTTCAGGATGGGGGGAGTTAGGTCTGTATCAGTAAAAGTTACGGTCGCCCTATTAATAATAACCAGAAAATCCTTGTCTGTACGGGGTGTGGAGGTTAACAACGGAACTTACAGGACCTCAGTGGTAGAAGGAAGTTATTTTGTCTTCCGTGTTTACTGGTGATTCATAAAGCTGATTAAAATACAGTCTGAATTTATCTTAGAAAAAAACAGTGCAATTTGCTGTTCAAGCCAGTGAGATATGTAGAACTTTGTTCCACCTCTGCAAAGAATGAATAAAGTTCTTTCCCAGTTTCTCAACGCTTGCCATTAAATCTAGAACATCGAGTACGGTTCTCTCTGGGAAACTGTGCGTATCAGATCAGAGACATTCTCTTCTCACATTCTCTTTCTATGTTTCAAACTTTGCTCAGTTTACGGTCTGTGTTGCTCTCAGCAAGGAGTTAAACCCTCCTGTACATTCACACATCACTGCTTTGTTTCGACATTATTTTATCCATGCCAGGTTTTACGTCAAAAACGTGAGTGGTGTACATTTCTGATTTCGCCACGTTTATTAGACTACATGTAATTTTCCTTAATTTAATCACACCGACACACCGCTCTATCTAACGGACCACTCTAGTCAAATGCAGACCAACTGCTGGAAGTCGAGGCCCCTTCATGCGGATCTCCTCCTTGACTTTCATATTCGAAGTTCAGAGAGCCAAAGCAAGTCAAGCCAGACTGAAAATTTATATCAATTTGTAAGGTGGCCAATTATAATACCCAAAGTAGATGTGAAAAGTCTGTACACGCCATGAAGTTCGCTTGGGCGGGGGGAGAATTGAAAAATCTTCTAATCTTTCTCAACCTCGGCACTAGATGGGGGTGAGTGGTCAGCGTCATGCCCCGGCAGAGTTTACCCCCCGGGAAAGGATCCGTCACCCATTGGGTAGACCTCACAACCGGTTTGGACGCAGAGGCTGTATGAAAAATCTCCTGTTGGGGATCGAACCCCGGTCGTCCAGTCTGTAGTCAGTCACTATGTGCCACCCCAAGCTCTTAAAGGAAAATACCATTTACTGAGCCAGCAAAGACATTCGTTTGAGTAGACTCGAAAAGTAATTCAATTCAAAATCGCTGAGAAAAATATATATTCATACGCGTCGTCGTTTCAAAAATGCAAAACTTGTGTTTTTTTGGTTACCATAGTGGGGAGGGAAATTAAAACATGTGAGCACACCCGCTGCCAATCCTTTCCATCTTGTCTGACGACCAGAAGGTGGGAGCGGCGATGCGTAGTTAATGAGAAGTTTGTTAGAGGCGAAAGTGAGCCTGGATCAGAATATAAGAGAGGCGCGATGCCCTCAGAACCAAACAGTCCTCGAGTTTCTTCGTTCGAGCTGGGTGAGAGATACGTCCTGCTATGAAGTTCTCTGTAAGTAGACGACAGTTTGCACTGCCTCAGGTAACCGCATTCTGATGATACAGTCGAAGGTATATTTTTGTTTGCTCTGACGGAAAAAAAACTGTTTCAGATTTGAAGAATTAACATTTGAATAATCGATTCACAGAATATCATAGGAAGTATCAAATAAGAAGTATGTGGACGATCAGGTTTTCTTCTGTGGCTACCAACTAATTCTTAACCTCACTGTTGTTTCGACTGCTCCGCAGACTATCATCTTCACCGCTGGCCTCTTTGCCCTCGCATCATGCGAGGAGACGTCAAAGAAGGTCGAAACGTCGGAGAAGAAGCAGGGTAAGCGAGGGCTCTTTGATCTTGGGGGCGGCCACGGAATCGAATTTGCGGGTGGCCACGGCGGAAGCTTTGGTCTGGGCAGTGGCCTTGAATTTGGTCATCAAGTTGACCACGTGAAGGCCATCACAGTGACGAAACAAGTTCCGGTTCCGGTCCCCCATCCCTACCCAGTTCATATCGAGAGAAAAGTCCCCTTCCCCGTGAAGGTCCCTGTAGCCGTCCATGTTGACAAACCCTACCCAGTTCACGTCCCCAAACCATACCCTGTCTACGTCGAGAAGAAGGTCCCTTACCCTGTCGACAAACCCGTTCCTTATCCCGTCAAAGTACCAGTCAAAGTTCCAGTAGTTGTCCCCGTCCCTGTTCACGTTCCTAAGCCAGTCGCCGTCCCTGTACCAAAACCTGTAGCAGTCCCCGTGCCCCATCCCGTGCTGGTCCAGAAGCCAGTCCCTGTGCTGATCAACCAAAACTCTGGCTATGGGGGAGGGGAGTTCGGAGGACATGGCGGACTGTACGGTGGATCAATCGGTTTTGGACACGGTGAATTTGGAGGAGCAGCCTTAAGTAACGGAAACCATGGCTTCGAAGGGACGTCCATCAGTCTAGGAGGTCATGGAGGGCTGGGAGGATTCTCCGGGGGTGCCTATGGCGGTAACATCGGAGGGTATCATCATGGCTGAGAAGTGTTCCAATTCTGCTTCTTGGAAGGGAAGAAGGAACAAGAAATGATTATTGCCGAATTTCTAAGTGCGTTTTACAAGTTACGTTTCTGACACAAGTAATTGTAATACAGAATCTGTAAATAAACACCAAAGATTATTTTTGTAAAAGTCTGTTACGTCTTACGCGATGGGAGAAGACGTAGAATTTTGGTTCCTTTGACGAAAGACACGACCTCCCCTTCCACATGTCCAGTCAATTACGCCTTTACACAAATCCAGTCTCTAAAATACTGTGGAGAAGTTTAAATAGTACTAATATTGAATAAAAAATTTCTTGGATATTATCCATCGTCTAGTAAATAGGGATTAGCTCTATCTAGTGGGCCCAACTGTGTAGGAACCTGAAGACGGAGATAGAGTCCCATCTCCGAAACGTCGTTTTACGTTTTATATTTACTAGACGATGGATAATATCCAAGAAAATTTTTATTCAATTGACTCTTCACCATCGTCAAAAAGTTTTAGATTTGAAGTACTAATATGACTTTACAGTTTTGTATAAAAATTATCTTATTCGAAGGTTTAAATGATACATGGGTTAGAAGAATTATACCACGATTCCAGACATAAAAGAATGAATCTCTGAACAACATCACAATTGCACAAATATAATCTCAGTACGTTACAGGGTTTTACCAAATAGAAAGCAACCACTTTTCCATGAGTGTACACTACCAAGGAGCCATCAGCCATGTCTATTCACCATTGTGGTCTTCTTGTCCGGTAGGTAGTAATGAGTGTGCATGATCCTCCACACCGATGGTGCTAGAGCTGACATCAGGAAGGAAATAACGCACGTTGAAATGGTTAGAGAGAAATTGTGGCATTTGATAGTTAATGTTACCCCTCGCTGGACTAAGGCAGACCCAGACTGTCAAATTACGCCTTAGAACATTTCTCTTTTTCATAACATAACTCAGCCGATCGGAGCTTCTGGAAGCCCTGTACATGATCCACGACGTAAAAGTGAATACGTCTGTAGGAGGACCAGAGTCATTATCAGAAGGTGTGAATGTGCCTCAGGACTCTTAGGGAGTTTGAAGGAAAAAGGGCGGATGCAGACGCAATTGGTTACGAAACGTCGCTTGGTATTTACACTAATAGAACGCACACATTTGCCTACAAAAAGCAATAACGTGAAATGAGTTTCGCTTACCGAAACAAACTGTGGTTTCGCAGAGCAGAAGAAGTCTCAATACGCTGTCATGTGACAGTACGTGGACGCAGAACAGGTACGTTCCCTGCAGGTTGTAGAAATAGATCTGAACGCTCAGCGTGAGGTACGGCAGGATCAAGATGGGTCTACCCTGAAGCAAACGCAAAACGGCGGATGAAGGGAATGTCTGATTTATTCATCGTCACAGGGAAAAGTTTTCTGCTTTCTTTGCGAATTATTTTTCGAATGCTGATTCTGCATGTAACACAATTGGAGAAGTTCAAAAAGACTTTGAAATAGTATTTTATTTTAAATTTTGTGTCTGATATTGCGTTTGCAAACAATAACATGATAATGGCAGGAAAATAAACCACATTTCCAAGAAAATCAGTGGCCCAAAGGGTTATTGAAATGTCCCCGGTATACTCAGCCATAAATGACCTTCTCCGAGGCAAATGAATCAACTGTACATTCTAACACATTCGAAACACAAGTTGCGGAGTTGATATAATTATAAAATCCGCTATTTTATTGTATCATAAGAGTTATAACATTCTTTCACTGCTTGAAGACAAAATAATCGACCGCTGGATCACCGTATGTTCGTGCGTTAACTTCCCCTTTAAAATTCTAAACCGTTGACAGATGTTCACGAAACGTGGTATGATAATGGAGGCGACAACAGCATTACACTTTTCCAATCTCAATATAAAAGGTTGTAGAAGGACGTGCCTGCCTTCTTACATAAGACTTGGTGGAAAAGTATGATCTTCATGGATCTTAGGGGGTTGTCGTTATGGACTGGATCCGTTTGGCTCTGGGTACGCGAATCTTTTAGATTCATTAAAGTCGTGGAACGTCTTCATCAACAGAGCGACTACTGTCGTATGTATCCTCGCTACTCGAGTTAATCTGAAGTTTGTACTCACCCGATGGATGCGACGAAGCAGGAATCCATTGAGAATCAGCGCTGTGACCTGAAACAGCAGCAGCGCTGATTGCCCAAGCCACACGTCTGTAGGAACGGAGATAAAGTTGTTTAAGAAGACACGAGACACGGGGGTGGGACAAAGGAATGGAACACGACACAAAGATCCCGACTGACAGGAAGAATACAAGGATCTTCTCGTTGAAATACAACGAATGTGAAAAGTGAAAGCAAAAGTGATCCCAATAATTACAGGAGCAACTGGAACTGTCTCCAGGTCACTCAGAAAGTATTTGGCCAACATCCCGGGCGAAGATGACGTCAGGGAACTTCAGAAGACCGCCATTTTAGGATCTTCATAGATTATTCGAAAGACGCTGTCGTAAAATATACAGTCATCCCTCGCAATAAAATTATACACGTATTAAGAACAAAATGTATTTCGGAAATAGCCACTGCGCTGTGTACCTCAGGGGCAAGGTTTGTCTCGGGTACATTGAAGTAAATGCCCTATAAAGTGGGAAATTGATTGGATAATAATAATCATGTACTGATAAACGTAATCTCACCTGTCGTCACTGCCTCGTATTGCCATAAGTCAATGTAGATTTTGATATGGATCGACTTGAGATCGACGCCGATTTCTCCTGCTGATTCTACAATCCGCCCCTCCCCTCGCTTCGTCTTAACGCCTGCATAACACATCAAAACACGTCACTAATTCTCCTCAAGGCCTCCAATACTTTGATTCAGTGTTTTCGTAGTCGTTGACAACGTTTTACAGGTCTTTAATTGGAATCTGTTTCCGATCAACTCATTTAACGGAGCATGGGATGTCTTGAGAAGGTGATGATAGCCACTGGGCTGATTAAGAAATTTCCGCTTCTATTAAAACTTATGTTTAAAACATTTTTCACAGAATCCCGCCATGCGTAGACGATTGAACCACATTAGTCCAGTATACAAACAAATTTAATCGAAATCTCTCCAGTGTTCTTGGAGACAGAACAAATTCTGCCTTAGTATATCTTGAATCTTCTCTAACCTTTATGCACGTTCAAAAATGGACGGGAATCTGGCAAACACGTCTCGTCCCATCCCGTCTTTACGTCTTCAAAAAAGTGATTAATTTCATGTCCCAGAACACGAGGTGCAGTTATTACACAGAATACCACGTAATTTATACGAAGACAATATCAGACAAGCCTAAATGTCGACATCCATGTCAGCCAACTTGAAATAATACATAAGTTTATCAGCGTATGGGGCAATGTAGTTAAACCTTTAAAAATGACAAAGAACTTGGTTTATTTTTAGTCCTTTTATGTGACTTATGTGATAACATACTTGTGAAAAACACGTCGTATTATCGCCATTTTCTGTTTTTGAAGAGGTTAAGTTAGTCCACGTGTTCTGTTATGCAGGATAAAAGCTTTGGCCTTGGCAGGCAGGCTTAAACTTTCTGGGGAGAAAAAACTGGATTTTGTACAAAAACAAAAGAATATTTTACCGCGCAATATGAAGCATTTTAATAAATACGTTACAAGTGACAAATCCTAGCAACAGTTCAAAGCGCCTCTCGTGAGTTCAGATTGAAATAAGTTGTTTTTCCCCCCTTTTTTGATAAGTTACACGGAAAATGAGAGACCTCTTTTAAACGATTATTAACAATTAATAATATTGACTGTTTAAAGTGAAACTCAGTTTGGATAACTTATCACTGGGGGTCACTCTGTCTTGGCTGTATATAATCTTACCATTATGTTTCTCGGTTAGGAAATCCGGGGTGGTTATTGTTGTCCACACAATGAGGGCCACGTACGCCATCTGTGGAGTACACTAAAAACAATTGGTACAACTATGTGTCTATCCGCGGATTGTAGATGCTCTGTACGTACAAAAGACAATGAAAATGTTATATTAAAATGAAAAGACTGAAGATGTTAAAAGATGACCAGGGTTTATACTTTCTTTAATATCTCTGATGTTTCCGTTAACGTAAATCTTGAAAATGATTTTTGCAATAAATCTTGTGTAACAGTTTGATCAACTTGGTTCAAGTTACTCGATTACTCAAAAATTATAAAGGTTTCAAAATAATCTTGTAGAAACATTCACATTAGTTTACCATCATCGCAAGAATCTCATATAATGGAAGAATACTCGAGTGGTATGTAGCATGCAATTGTATCGGCTGAGCTATGGAGAGCGGATACGCGTATCCCTTGTGTTTACGAGTCTTCAAAACAGATGGCAGTTCAAGCAAACAATACAAATTTTACTGAACGAAGAAATTTAAAAAAAATTATATTCCTCCAGTAACAATGGTCTGACGTCTAACTACTAGCATGTTCTTAATTCGAGTTAATGTTATGGCGTTTTGTCGATGAGTGGTTTTTGACTGTATTATAAAAAAATCACAGCAAATTTTTACTTAAAACTTATTGGTGTGCTGTAAAGCGGGAATCGGATAAAATGGAGTTACGAGGACAGCATAAAACGTTTGAAAGAGCGAAATCTTTTAAAAGCAGAAAGTTCGACAAACCTTTACCTTTGCTGGCCAGGTTTTTTTAATAATAGTTCATCCTACCAGAACGTCGGTCGAGATTAAAATACCAAGCTCCTCTACTACGCTCCTCGTAACACAATCAGACAAATAAAAACAATAATTCTATCTGTAAATAAATATTTAGTATCAATAAATATACTTCGTACCAGAAACTTGAAAACTGCCTAAATATTTAGGTTGTCACTACTTATCATGGCAAGAGACGACCTACAGGGACATATGTGATAGGTTTAAATATTAAACCTGCGATTCATATGATTTGTGCTTAAAAAGTATAATTCAATTCAATGAATTATGATAATTAAACGTCGAGAGTTCATCAACTCACCAACCCAAACCGCCCAAGGACCAAGGCTCGTCTAATTACTGACCCCTTCGGGACTGGGGCACACAGCAACACGGACGATATTCTTGGAACGGCTTCACAGGCACCAAGAAAGAACATATTAATTGCTTTAGTGCGCTGTTTGAAACAGCAACACCAAGTATTCTCGTAACCGAATTTATATATTAGTGCCACATTGTAGATTGAGTAAGTAAATTAAAGCTGTCCCACTATACGCCATGTAGGCGCTTGGGGGGAGAGAAGGTATAGCTCCTACTCATTCTTGATCTCGGCACTAGATGGGGGTGAGTGGTCAGCATCACGCCCCGGCCGGCTTTAACCCCGGGAAGTTCAAACACGGCAATACTTCCAGACGGACATAACTAATCCACAACTTCATTTCTGTCTTTATATTATTTACTTTACAGGATAATACAAAAACAACAACAAAACGTTCACCCACACAAAATCATGTTAAGCACGACGTACATATACAGAACAACTTCGAATACGATATTAAAAATACAATAAAATCTGGAAGAAAACATCATTTGAAATCTGATAAACATCTGACTAAAAGTTGCATTTAAGAAATTATATTTAAGTTTATATAATTTTATACACCTGAAGATGGTTCTTTTAGAACTGAAACATGTCGTGAAAAAATTGATGATCTAATGTAAATCGAACATTTCGATAGAGAACGTCATTTAATATATTTTAAATATTTAAATGCTAATTATAATAATATTTAATAGGAATTTTATTGTGATTAGACTGACAAGATTTAAACAAATATATATTTATCACAATATGACGCAACTTTATCATCTCAGAAATAATAATATTATTAATAAGTAGGAAACCCTTGACTCACCCATTGTGAAGAGCTGGAGACCTCCATGTCGCAGGCAGCAAGTTTATCAACCTTGTAATAGTGAAAGGCCGACGCAGTGAAACGCGGTCTTACGCATGGTCCACGTACGCCTGACCGTGAGTTCGAGTCCCACTCAAGGCATGGATGTTGGTCCGCGTCCTTTCTTTTCCAGTCTGGTGGGTTAAGACTGGCCACGGAGGGCAAGGCGAAACCACCGTGGTACCTTCGCAAGAAAACCCCGACGACGACGACGGTCAAGTTGACCATTGAGATTAAAAAATAAATAGTGAAAGGATGCAGGATGAAAAAGTCGTCTAATTCTGATACGTGTCCAAAGAAGCCAGAATTCCACACCAAGTGTTTTGCCATACATCATATAATGAAGGAATACCATCGGGTGTGTAGATGTTATATTTACTTAGAATAGAAATATTTTATATCTGATAAAGTTATAAAACAAATATCCAATCTTCCCAGTAGGAAACGCATTAAGAAATCCACCAGTGACATATGCAAATTCATTCGTCTTCTTATGAAGCATTCTTTATGGGTAGTGACTTCGCGTTATGTTTCACTTTCCTGGTGTTGAACTTGGTCTTGAACTTCCCAACAAAATCAGCGCGAAAGGTAGCACAGCTCTGAGAATATGAAATCCAATGCTTATACATCGTATTTATTTTATTTAGTGTTCTGTCTGACGACAGGTCCATATGAACAGGATCCTTCCATCCTTTTCTCTTCTCGGACTGGGACCTGTTCATATACGTTCTTGGCAGATGATCCAGAAGTGGTTTGCCATTGCCTTCTTCTGTGTGTGAATGGAGTAATTGTTGGGATGCCACGGAGGAAACCTCCGTGTTGCCTAGACCACGGCCTTGCCCAACACAAGTTATAAATTCGGGCAGCGCCGGGAATCGAACCCGAGACCCCAGGATTACAAGGCCAGCTTTCTAACCGCATGTAATGAGAGATGTTTAGACGTCGCCAAAGTCATATCTACCGCCCTGGACTTGCTTTATTCTCTAACGAAAGGCACCACTTATTACACATCCCGCTATCGACAGTGGTACAGTCCGTGAAAAATATTTCACACGGGCAGTATTCAAACAAGAGGAACTGTGATCCTCTCAGAACATATTTTCACCATATTTAGCAAAGATTATTCCGTTTTGTGCAAGTTATATAAAAAATCAAATTAGTTCATAATAGCAGTTGAATTTATACAGCTTAATGGCACTTAAATAGACCAGCAGAGAGCCTTAGTGGTATTTAAAAGGGACCGCAAAGGGTTAAACTGGTTCTCTCGTAAATTGGGTGAGAATTTACTGAATTACTTATGGCGGGATCCAATAGCGACCTCTTTTGAACGTAATTTATGAGCATGAATTCCGATTATACCCTTGCCATTAAAAATCTTCGATCCAGATAATAGTTTATATCTTCATTATAGTATACTTAACATTATAGAACACTCGTAAAACAGTGGAATGTTTGTGGGAAATTGACAGTGAGAACACAGTCGTGTTACCGGGATGTTGCACAATTGATCAGCAGTAGATTGCATTAATCGAGATTTCAAAATCTCAAATAAGAAAAAAAATAATACGTCAGAATAATGTTAAAGAAACTCTTACCTTCCATTTTGGATGTCCGACTCTTTCGGGGTTCAAAATATAACTGCATGACTGAATTTTTAAGATGCTTTACTATAGCGAGTGGGTTTCATAACAACCGGTATGTAATGCTTGGCCTTGTCTGGAAGCTCAAAATTCTTTTGAGAATATTCTTAATACTCAGAACTGGTTGTGGAGTTATCGCAACACTATGTTGGACATATCGATAATCTGAGGCATATTTAACACACACGATTTCTCGGGAGTCACTCTATCCGCGATTAGGCCAAGGCCACCGTTGTCTGATGGTTAGCGTACCATGGCAGCATTTGAAAGATCCCTGGTTCCACTCCGTATCATGACAGTCACCTGAAGACAGGATAGACCAAACTACCCAAACGTCAGCGTGTATTAAATGTAAATCAGACAGTGCACGGTGTCCAAAATAGTGACTATAATGAATCCATCTGTCACAAAACGTCAGAGAATCGCTGTGAATTGCCGGTGGACGAGAAGTTGAAACAGAGGGTCTTCATGAACACTAATACATTAAGTGGCGTGGCCTATTTAAAATAGTGTCTACTCGTTTGCCCGGGATGACAACTTAACTCACGGTTAAGATAGCCGACATCCGAGCTGAGATTTTAACCAGACCTCTCGTATAGAAGCAGGACTGGTAGCGCCTCTATCGGGCATAACTTACAAAGCCTGTTTTCCTACTCGTACGCCTTCGAATGCCGGTATCAATTTAAGGTTATGTGAATCAGAATTCAAGTAACTAAACGTAGTTTAGTTGTAGTGATAGCCTAATGCAGTGATATTCAACCTGTGTTATGCGAAGACATCTTAGGGGGTACGTGGTATTTAAAAGAAATATATATATTACTTTATTATACACGCTAAATAATCAGTAATGTAATTTATTTAATTTATTTTAAATGTAGATTATATACTATGTATAACTTGAATTATACACCAACAACATTGGGAGTGCAAAGTTGAAGAGAAATTATATCTGGGGAGTACGCGAACAAAAAAGGTTGAATACCACTGGCTTAATCGACCCATTCTCAGGTGAATCCTAGTCGAGCCAGAAAATTTTTGTTTCTTGTTATTTTGAATATGTTGCACATTGTTCTTTTTGTCCATTATAAATAATCTATTACTTACGTGGCCTACGGTCTTCACAAACGTCAAATTTGTCGTAACTGGTACTACTGTGACACTCACTTAACAAATTCTTGCGTCCGCCATGTTGTTATTATCGATTATCGATTAGCTGCCGATGGTATATCGTTCATACGAAATGTTATTAAAAGTTTATACTTGCAGAAAATTTTGTGAGGTACGGACAGACGCATGCTGTAAGCACAATGACGTCATAAACTTAAATTTGCATTTGGAAAAGAAAGACTAAAAATGTTTATTATCGTCCGTGGTGAAAATTCTGGTCACTTCTCAGCGACCAGCTGACTTGCACATTGGAGAGCTGAGTCAATGTCAGCAGCACCCAGAGCAGAAGAAAGTGACGAGTCTGTCACAGAGTGACGAAATACAAGCAACCCGATAAATGTGTTTCCCTCTAATCTTTTTCACAGAGTCCTTTCCCTGGGGTAAAGCGTGGAAGCGGCGTGATGCTAACTGCTCACCCCATCTAAGGCCGAGATTAAGAATGAGGAGCTATATCACCTGTCCAGTGGGGCAGCTTTACTTTAATCTTTCTCCTACATTTCGACTTTGAAACATGTCAGCGTCGCATTAAAAAAGTGCGAGATTCATGGCACCGCTCGACAGGTTTCACCACAAACAGAAGAAAGCAGGGAAGATTATTTTTCCTTTTCGCTCAACGTGGGCAAGCAATTTGTTCACAACATTCATAAATAATAATACAAAGGACTACTGTTTATATAATAATACTTTATTGTTTAAGAGCTTTCCTGTCTAATCAAGAATAGGCTCCATAATATCCGAGTCCGTCAACATGGAATGTTGGCCATGAAAGGAGTAGAGTGGTAGCAGAAGCTGTAGTCTCCCACAAAGCATAAGAATTAAAAATTCAAGCCAGGGTCAAATGCCCTTATTCCCTGTACACTTCGAGGTGTACGCCTGTTTTTTGGACCTGGCTACATCGCACGTAACATCATTTAATTATGTGTGAACACAGGATGGGTAACGCCATTATTAGTTGAAGTGGAAATATCTTAGGAAAAGGAAGACTAAATGATGCTAAATCATCTCTCGTGGTTAGAGTATCAAATAGAATAAGATAACTGAGCAGAACCTACAACGCTCCACGAGAAATTGGGGTGGCTAATAAGTACAAGCGAGATGTATAATGGAACTAGTTGTTGCATAATTTAGATTCGCTGATTACTAATTCAGTTACAGATTAACATTTTTAATAAAACATAAGCATATGTTTTGAAATTATTCTTATATATAAAATGCAGCTATTCTTTCGTCAAATTTTAAGTAGCATCTTCAGAATTATGTTGCTGAATTCATTTTGCTACCGAGTCGCAAAGTTGCAGCATTGCCGAAACACTACTTCTCATCGCAGATCAGTTGTTTTGTGTCTGGAATGTGACCAGTGGCTGCCCCATCACATTTTCCACGAAGGAGAAACTTGTGATGTGACGTGTGGACGTCTCCGTTTTCTGGCATAGTGAGAACAGTTTCCACAGAGCCTCGATGCTCGAGCAAAGTACACTTTTGAAGCTGCTGGTAGTAACTGAAGACAATCAGCCACAAATAAGCCAAGAAAACTGGAATCAGAAAACAAGCATTCACACTGTCTGCGGGTAACGTTATAAGGAACAGCTCAGAATGCTGATACTGCATCTCACTGAAGTCCTGTGGAATGTCGCCTCGCTGGTTCCGTCTGTTTGATATCGTACCTAAATAGCCCACTTCCTTCTGCATCTTTTATAGTTCATCATTTTCAAATTATCCTATCATTTATAAGATATAAGATATGATATTTTAATCTTTAATTATCTTATATTGTGATTGACGGCCAATTTTAATATATTTTTAATACTATCCTGTTTTTTTTAAAAAAAACCAAAAATAAAGAAATTCAAAGTCTTTATCAACGCACTCACCGTACAGTTCACTTTCAGGTCCATCCTGACTGTAAAGAAAGATCTTAACTTGGTAACTCTTTTTAAATAATACATAAGTTTACTGACATTTCAGATGTACTCGCCGCCTCGATCATGAGGGTGTCGGTAAGATCTGCCAGACTACGTGGCGGAACAACCCATAAGACAGCCATCTTCAGACACTGTCATGTCTGCCTATTAATTAGTACGAAATATTTTAATTTATTTAATTGATAATGCTTACCAATTATCAGTGCTCCAATAAGCATCATGGAGGCAGCAAAGGTATTAAAGTCATGTAAGACAGCATAAATGCCAATAATGGATATAACAAGAGAACTTGAGATGATGCCTAGAGCTCCCAGTATCAGGTACGGCACCAGGAAAGAACGCTTTGCCTGTAAACACAATAAATGAAGACGATTTAAATATTAAATTAACAGCGTTCTCCCCACGAAATTCATGGAACGTACTCAAACACAGATATAATGAATTTTCAACTCGGCACTCAATAAGCACCAGTGACTTACTCAGATTCACTTCTGAATCACGTAAATACGTCATTAGCCGTGCATAATTGCCAAGATGTTTACGGAAGAGACTTAGAAACGTCGGCCAACAGCGTTCGTAAGTTAAAATACTGCCCCAGGAATGGATATTTATACGCTTTTATCGTCATCCGACAATCATTTAATATCTGTGTTCTGTTCAGGACCTCACACTATTAAAATACAGTGAACCCAACGTAAAGAAACAAACTGCAGTGTTCAAATATGAATGTATTTACTTTGTAGGCTCCGTACAAAAGCAGTCCACAGACACTCCCACCTACAGCGCATCCACCCACTGCACTAACGAGCAGCAACTCCCAGTCTGTAACAAACAGCAGCGTCTCATTAACGGGATCCACATCTTGAATCACGAGGCTGCCAGACTGGTTCTAAATGTTTAATGACATGCTAGTGCAACGCACAGTCAGGTAGATCACATGCAAGGTCTGTCGCACGGAGAGTAAAGATAAATAATCCCAGAGTTGTCCCCATGTAGAAGATAAATCTCTGTGTTTTGATAAGGAAAAATTATGACGCCTCTAAATACAGGATTTTAATAAACTGCTTCTTGTTAGCATTTGTATCAACTGCAAGCAAGCGAGGATTTGAGGTCGCATGGTGGTGAGTACAGGTTTACCAACTTCTACTATAAAACACGGTGCTACAATCCAGAAGGCAGATATCTTTGAACTGCAAGGATATATCAAAAGCACACAGTCTCATACTGATCGTGTGATGCATTATGGATTATGAAATAAATATTTAAAAAAACATTACAATTTCTCTTTAATTTATTCTACATAATTCAAAATAGTAGGTGTGACCACTTACTGTTTACAAACATCTTAAGTATTAGTTTTAATTTAAAACTAGTGAAAACTTATTACAATAAAAATATTTATATATGATTTTGTAATGTAATTTTGATTTTTGAAATGTTTCTCTGTAATTGACATTAATAAATGATTCTGTTATTGAAGGCATGAAGTAATTTTGAACAAGAAACCAGTTACAGGACTCAAGATAGTTTTTCTGTCAAGTTTCATAATTAAATCATTTTGAAGTTTCAGCTTCCTGTATTTTGAGTTTTATTACTGTACTCAAAACATTTTCAGGATTTTTCTGCATAAGACACCAGTCTCATGCAGAAAAATCTCAGTAAACTTCAGCAATGAATACAGCGATATAAGTTGCCAACTGAGATGCCATTCCACGTGACAGTCAATCAGAGGACAGCAGACGAGGCGACAATTTAAAACGTAACCAGCAAGAGCTTTGGACATCTGGAAAAGTGAAATAAATATACTGGTTTCTGGTTATTGTGGATTTTGCTGCATGGAGTACGCCAAAAGGGAAAGATACTCTTACTATAATTACTAAAGACACATCATGAAATCACGAAGTCAGTATTTATCACATTTGGGTACATCATATGAAACTAAAAAAAGTTTAAAAGTGGCTTGTCATAAGCAAGTTACGTAGAAATAATATTTTTAGTCATATTATGTCGTGAATAAATACAACTATGAGTATTTTCCTCCGACACATATCTAAGATAGTTCTTACCAGGTAATTGTCTGCCATACGCAAGGAAATACACCACAGAAAGCACCAATTCCAACACATCCGCACCCTGTAATAATCACAGAGAGTAAGGAAAAGAGAATGACTGTGTTTTGTTTACATCAAACCAAAAACCTGATTTTGTCAGACATATTCAAAATATTTTTGACAACTCTTATAATACATTTTCAAAATGATATATCTTAAAAAGAATGTGAATTATATTTATGCAAATAAATTAACTCTTTCACTGCCTGTTAAATATCTTGAACAGACATGAAGTGGTCTTACAACGAAGGGCGATGCTGATTTTAAAGGGCGTGACAAGGGTCTGTTTAATGTGCAGTGAAGAATACACAAATATAAATATTTTACTTTTCAGTAAGGACTTACCAAACCCAGCCATCCTGTGAAAATTGCTCCTGTTTTCAAAGAATATCCACCAATAAAGTGCTTCAGGACTGGAAGACATTTTGAAATGGCCATAGCTGATTTCTGGATCCTGGTCCCTGTTAGCAAGGAAACAAATTACACACCGATCGTTCACAATCTGACTTCAGACATCCTTCTGATAAGTAGGCGAATCACAATACTGGGAAGTGTGTCACATGATCAGCACAGGCAGGATTTCCGTTTTATTACCAGAACACTTGACCTTGACAAAGATATAAGCGAGTGACTGGTGCATACAAAGCAGCCTCTAAGAACGTGGTGTTATATCTGCATGATCCTCCCCTAAGATTTTATACACTAAAGCAATTAAAGTCTCAGTTCTATGTCTTTTACTCAAATACAATATGAGCTGGGATAGCTCAGTCCCGACGGGGGCAGAGGACTTTTCCTCTAGCCTCTGCGTCCAGAGCAGCTCTGGGGTGGGGCGTGATGCTGACCACTCACCCCATTTGGTGCGTGGGATAGCGTAGTGTTAAATAATTTGAAGCCCTTCAGCGGCCAAAAAACAGACGATGGGCCAGCGGTGTCATTGTGGGTAAATTTGACAACCACAATTTACGGTGACGCCATGCAGTGTTGTCAAAGTAAATTTTACGCTCGCCTTACAAGCATTACGCACGTGCACGTCCTACTCTATCTTATACAACGTACAGTTGAAACAGACGTAATTTAATATATTACATACCTTACAATGGTTCCCCACTCCTAACACCGACACAAAGTTGTTCTTAACTCCGCAGCTCTTCCTTGTTCGCTCCTCCCTCATTAGCAATGTTACCGCACCGACTATCAGTCAGCTGTAGCACAGGGTTGCCAACACCTAGCCACAAACTTTTCTCCGTAAGCAGCGTAAATTTCCCTTTGCATGTAAAAAATATCCCTTACAATTAAAATGTTGTTTGCGTCATAGTTCCATGCTCAGAAGTGGACAAACCCTCTGAAACAGACGGTAACTTCCAGTGCAATAAACACAGTACGAACGACGCTTTATCAACTGCAAACTGGCTCTTCATAATGCGTGTATCATTAATAAATTCTTTGACTGCATGAAAGTAATTTATAACTTTGAAGATTGTGTGGCTTCTTAACCGCGGTTTGCACCAACAGTGTAGTTTTACAGACCTATGCTGTTATATGCAGCCTGTACCTTGTCATACGAAGTTAATCATAATTACTTTGAATTTAAACCAATGTCAAGATCCTGAAGGAGTACTCATTATGTCCAGAAGACGGCCATCAATCCAGAATAATTAATAAATGGTCCAAGGTCATTGGTCTGTCTGTGTTGTAGCAAACAATTATTTTGAGATGGCGTTGTAACTAAAAAGAAATCTAGAGGATTTAAGTCAGGCGATATTCGGCCCATAGCTCGAAAATAAAACGTCCAAGGACATACACGTACATAGACATTTTTAATTGTTTTCTGCACATCAGGGTACACGCCCCTAAAATGGTGCAGTATATTTCAGAAACACCGAACATGTAATAGTAAATTGAAGGGTAAATATTTGATTTCAGGAAGTTACTTTCTCGCAGAGGAAACTTATTCGTCTGCTATTGTCGTTGAAAATGTAACATTCCACATTTTAATAAGGAAACAAGAAAAGCATGCAGAATTTGGATGGGGAGATCTCTTGGAAAATATCCATTTCGAAGAGGTAGGAGTTGGGTGAATGGTATTGAGACTGGGAAGTGGGCGAGAGTCGCTTTCAGTTTAGGGCTTTGGTATAAACTGTGTTGAATAACCCGATTATGCCACCACAGTATTTGTTAACAATCATTTAACTGAAGTGAAGCCAAACCGATCACAATTAAGATACTAATTTCGAAAGATTAATTTGCAAATTATGCATTTAATCAAACCACATTCTTCCTTAAGTGTGTGTTAATAGAACTATTCATTTTCCAAGAAAAAAATATTTAACTAAATTTATAACTACATTAATAATAGAAAACCGGGTATCAAGCAAACAATTCACTGTTAAAGTGTTCAATTTTAGTTTCAGTTATAATTTTATTTGTTACAAGATATCACTGTTAATAGAATGTTCCAAGCTTACCAGATCAAGTAAAATGCACTGTTGTTAAGCATATTCATTCGGCAAATATTATTTTCCTTCCCTTTTAACTTACTGATTTCTTAAATAAGCATAATCGCTTTTTCATTACGAAGTTATAGGATGAAAAACATGTTCCATAACACAGCATTAACTAGAGAACTCAACCAACCGCATGCATACGGCTAAATTTTACAACTGTAAAGCACTGCACGACATATCTGTACGTATACTCACACACACTGTACAAAATTCAAATTCAAATCCCATAAAATCTCACGAAGATATATGCTCATTTACACAAGTCCAATATTTTAAGCACAGATGTACGGAGTACTCACGTACTGAAATTTAATAGTTCCCCGGGATAGTGATCAGTGTTTTCCGTAGCCCCCCGCAGAGATGTGACCAAACCCTGCAGATCCTCCGAATCCGTGTCCCAGTCCGGCGCCACCCGCCCCAAGTCCTCCTCCAGTAGGAACCACCACAGGGTAAGGCACCTCCACAGTCACCTCATGAGGCACGGGGACGGCTACAGGCTGAGGTACATGCACGGGAACAGCGTGAGGCACGGGGACGGCGTATGGCTGAGGTACAGGGACAGGGATGGGTTGAGGTACATGGACAGGGACGGGCCTGTTCACGGTGTAAGGGACCGGCCTTACTACCGTAACAGAGACAGGCTGGGGCACGTTGACAGGGACAGGACGAGGGACAGACACGGTGTAAGGGGCGGGGACGGGCACAGGGACGGGTCTGTTGACGGTCACCGGTACGGGCTGAGGGACGGGGACCGGAACTTGTTGTGTTATGGTGTTCACCTGCACCTGGCCGCCCGCATCGCCACTAAAACCGGCGCCACCCCCGAGACCGGCGCCTCCGAAACCCCCATAACTCAAGCTAATTGAATTTCCGTGTTGGCCTGCACCTGATCCGTGGCTGATTGAGCTGTAGCTGGTTGCCCCATGCCCGTGGCTGATACCTTCGGAACCGAACGAAGACCCTTGTATTCCTCTCTTGTGTGTTGTCTTCTTCGACAGTTCGTCGCCCTTGACTACCATGCCTTGAACGACAAGGGCCAAGACGCATATCTGAAAAAGTCAGAGCAGTTAGACATAAAGAAGCAATCATTTTGTAAATTGTTCAGTTTTAAATTTGATACTTGCCCGGTGGGCTTCACTAAGCTTGTGAATCAATCTGTTTTTTCGTACTTTAACAATAAATTTAATTAATTACTTACTGAATAGAAATTCCTGTTTCAATTGGACATAATAAATTTTAATCAGATCACTATGTTACCTTCTGTACCAAGTTGCAACATTCGAGAAAATATACCATCACAGGTTTAAGGCTGGACTCGTAACAACGGACATTAAAGCAAATTTATATCGAGTGCGCCCTCAGGCGGAAGGCTGGACACTTCCGGTCAGGGCGCACCGACAAAGAACACGAATCTTGGCCACTTCAGTTTAGACACAAATCAAACTCAGGATGTCTTCGAAGTTTTTTTAGAAATCCATTGAGCTATTTCCGGGGCGACACACGTACGCAGATAATTTATCGCGCTTTGCGTTGTAGCAAGTCCGTCGTTCTGTCTGAAGCTGCTCGTGACGTCCCTGGACTCACCTGGAGGATATTCATAGCTGCGGTTGTACCTTCCTGACGAAACTCCCGCTGCACTTCATGTTTTATATACCTATTCAGACATGCATGAGCGACGTGTGGAGCTTTCACTAACGTCGAATTCCGCATTACAATGCTTTCTATATTACGTATTTATTTTCAGATTTCATGTAACTTGGAATATTCATTTTTAATCCATGTTCTGTTTGTTGTAGGTTCTGACAAAAATCTGATTAAGTCAGTCCAAGTAGAAATTATGGTATGTAAACCGGATGTGATGTTGGATTTGGGTACCAAATCCGTTGAAATATACGAATCTTCGTTTAACAGATGTGCCTACGCAAATTTAAGTGTAAATGGGAGAGAGTTCAGAGTATTACACATGTACAGGAAAATCGAATTATTTCGTATCAGCGTAGCGTTGAATAAGAAAATACAGGAAAGTTGTGGACCCCAAGAGCAGACGTCACGTAATCGGCCTTGTATATAACCAATTCAATTAAGCAGAGCTGTTTGAGAAACTAATAGTTGCTTAGACGATCAAAAAGTCTTCCGGCAAATGTTTAACCGTTGTCATTCATCCGTATCCTGTAGAAGGTGAATTGATTCTACGTTGTCTTAGGCCTAATCTTATATTTTTAAGACCAATTTTATTAATACCAATCAAAAAGTCTTCCGTCAAATGTTTAACCATTGTCATTCATCCGTATATTTTTAAGACCAATTTTATTAATATCCTCGTTTATGAGAATTCCATCGAAGACCGAGGTTATGAGTAAATACTTTTTAATACGCTAGTTATAAGTTGAGCTACTGTCAGCTTTTTGCCCAATCCCAAGCTGTAGAATGTCCATCTAGTGTTCTTCAAACGCTGGCGTTCACGGAGAACACCTTATGGACTGGTTTTTCTGTCAGTCCGTCCGCCCGCATGATTCAACTCAACCGCTGGCCAAATTTGGATTAAAATTTGGCATTGGTTTAATATCACCGGAGGCTACCCAAATTCATGGTTTTAAATTACCTACAATCACGGCTAACGAAAGAACTTATAAGGCAAGATCGGGATCACTCAGAGCAAAAACAATCGAAGATCACTGTTGGAGGACATTGCTGTGCAAAAATAATTTGGGCTGAAATTAGTCCAAGAATGGCCTGAGACCTAGCGATGACATTGTATAAGATTAGTGCAAGAATGATCTACGACTTAACATTGGACAGGGATCGCATTAGTGCAAAAGTGACCTGGGTTATGTGGCGTAAAGAACGCCTATGGTGTACTCCTTAGAGTACGCCTTTTCTGTTTTGTTCAGAAAGATCTATTCTCAGCTGTTCTCGGAGTCTGGAGGCCAGTCTTTTGTGTCCGTACCTTGAGGACGTTATGTCTCTTTAACAAAAGACTGCGTTAAGTGTTGGTTTATACACGGCGTCTGGAGTGTGAGGAAGACAGAATGTACAAACACTGTCACGTGAGGGCACACATTTCGTACGAAAATTATACCATATCGGTCCATACTCAATTGGAATGATCATCATGTCCTATTAGAACAAATAAAGTTTGTGTGAACATCATGCTGTTGGATGTCACACTATGTTAGCGATATCAATCGCGTTTCAAAAGACATTTTCGTACAATAAAGAATATCGTATCTTCGAAGAAAATATGCAGCTGGTTTAATTTTTTAATAGAAAATTAGATTTAGAGACTCCTGTTTTATTCAAAATTTGCAACAGACCGACTTGCAGATTAAGTTCCTGGGTTCAAGTGTCGGGTTTTCAAAATACCGAGGAGACAATCCGGCAAAGTTTTTTTACTGTGTGAAGAATCTCACGGTTCTGAAAAACTTTCTGTTCCGAGAGCCAGGAAATTGCAGGTTTGCTGTGTCACTACGCAGCTTTGATTAATCTGTTATTATGGCAAGGAAACTATGAAAATGTAAAGACAGTGCCAGAATCCGAAATGGGAATTTGACTGTTGTCACTTAAATTTATATTTAAGGATTCACACTGATTCTTCACGTTGTATGGAAATAAGTTAAAACTAACATATGCTTGGCCTTGTATTATAATACGTGAAAGTCTGTAAAGAAACATGAAGTGTGGTATTAAGACATGAAATTTTTTTGAAGAATTAAATGTTCATTTGATAGATTTATAAAATAATGTGGAGTATTAAGGAAAAGTGTCTACAACAACAAATAATAATTCAGAAATTTTAAGAGGAGTGTCTGAAGCAAAATCTGATTACGTTGGAAATACATCCACTAGAAAAGTTCCCGCAGTATTACTGTGGAAAAATTCTAGAAAAATTGATATTCTCAATTGTTTTATTTATCCCTAATCTCGTCACGTGTCTAGGAGTCCTGCTACTGAATGTCATAGTACGGTACGGTAGTCTTAAAGACGTTCGTCACATCACTTCTGTATAAATATGAATAGCAGTTGAGAAAGGAAAGTAACTCATTATGACTGAAATCACGGAGATGATCGGCGGTGATTTCGTTCATAATTATTTGTGCCCAAAGAGCATTCGATAAAATGTCGACGAAGAGTGTCACCTTCGAACTTGCGCTGCGTAGGCTACTACTAATTACACGATGAGGATAAATGAGATACATACACACACACACAACAACTCAAGGGAGATGAAAACTAAGGCATGAACAAATATTTTCTGCGCTAAGGCATGGTTACGGGAAGGACTACTCGGACCTGAAGCTAGCCGTTAGCTTTCCCAGAGCGAAGTTAATTATGTATACATTTACAAGCTTAATTAATGCCGATAATATTCTCGCCTTTCAGATAGTTAAGTAACGCAGATTCATTCACGTTCGTAAATGAATCTTAGACAAATTTATAATAATGTTAATCATATCATTGAATTAAATTACTTGTCCAAAACAGGAACTTTACAATATTTTGCTTGAATTCGGTGTAACTTAAGAAGGTAGCCAGGCTAATTAAAATATTTTTAAGTGAAACCTGTAATAAATTTCGTAAAAGTAAACATTTAAGCATAGGAAAGCCGCGTTGGTGGTGGAACATCAAAGACTGAACCGAGAGTATTCCTAGTCCCTGAAAATAAGCAAAGTGAAATATACGTGCGGATCGCGTGCTAAGTCTGAGTGCCCACTCCGTGAAAAAGCCTTACGCAATTTCCGCGAGACCACGCACGCACTTGTAATTGCAGTCGCGCGGTTAACACTCGCGCCTCGTACTCAGGGAGCTCTGGGATACAAACTCGTCCTTCAGACAGAAATTCCAAAATAGTGTTGTCGCGTCCTTACAGGAAAATTGTCGACTGATGCAGACGACCGGCTGCTGTTATACATAACATTTTACGTAAAATGTCGAGTTATTTGAAATTAAAGAAGAACCTGACTGTCGCTCTATGAGGCACAAATATGTTTGTGTCAACATCTTCGCTAATTCTACCTCAGATTCTCGTCGGAAGTGTGCGGAGAGCCGCCACCCACGAATGCTTCGAGTTTTATTCTGAGATTTTGGTCAGATGTATTGGCCAGTATTTGGGCATGCGAGTGGGATGTGGAGAGGAATAATTGAGTTTCTCGTGTATGAAAACATATAAATATGTAAAATAAGTAAAGTAATTTTATTTCCAATGCGTACAAGAGACGATAAGACCCTCACACCCATCAGTCACATTGCATAACGTCTCACGATGTCCATAGTTTTATTTGCTGTGGGAAAATTAAGATCGGCGGATGAATTCTGCAAAGCCAATGTGAAATTTAGTGTTTTCCGTAGCCCCCCGCAGAGCCGTGACCAAACCCTGAAGATCCTCCGAATCCGTGTCCCAGTCCGGCGCCACCCGCCCCAAGTCCTCCTCCAGTAGGAACCACCACAGGGTAAGGCACCTCCACAGTCACCTCATGAGGCACGGGGACGGCTACAGGCTGAGGTACATGCACGGGAACAGCGTGAGGCACGGGGACGGCGTATGGCTGAGGTACAGGGACAGGGATGGGTTGAGGTACATGGACAGGGACGGGACTGTTCACGGTGTAAGGGACCGGCCTTACTACCGTAACAGAGACAGGCTGGGGCACGTTGACAGGGACAGGACGAGGGACAGACACGGTGTAAGGGGCGGGGACGGGCACAGGGACGGGTCTGTTGACGGTCACCGGTACGGGCTGAGGGACAGGGACCGGAATTTGTTGTGTTATCTGCATCTGATCCGTGGCTGATTGAGCTGTAGCTGGTTGCCCCGTGCCCGTGGCTGATACCTTCGGAACCGAACGAAGACCCTTGTATTCCTCTCTTGTGTGTTGTCTTTTCCAGAGATGAGTCGCATTTATTCACTCTGCCGTGAATGACCAGAGCCAGGATACAGATCTGTAACAAATTTGAAGTTCACTTCAATGTCTTAATTGAACAAGTCGGTTCGCCTTCTAGGTCTTCTAAAACAGCAAACTTTCAAGCTCTAGACTTTAATAAATTTGGCTTTTTTTTCCACGTCGCACAAAGTTAGACAGAATTAACATTTCAGGTTTCAGATATCAAAATTTTAAAACATTTTCGACTAATGTACTAGCTCTATTTGCGAGGCACAACTTACACCGAGAACATAAAATATAACTTTCACGCTTCATTTGATGTACTGCGCGGGGAAGCCACAAATATTTACTAAGAACTCCGAAATTCCACAAAAGCCTGTAGTCATAAACAGGCTAAAACCATCTGTGGTGAAGGAAGTAGAGTTTTTAAAAGTGAAGAATCCTATTTCGCATTCAGGAAATATGAAGTCTGAGGAAAGGAGAACTATTTCGACTTTAGAATACACATTTTATGAACGTGCCCGTTGCACGCAATGCTAAAATAAAAATTTAGAGAAATAAGTTCATTCATTTAAGCTATCAAATGAAAACCAATTTTGAAAAAGTGCAGTACGCAAATGCATGCAGCTTTGATTTCTGAAAGCTCTAAGCACAAGAACTGCTCCTCTGCAGTCTCACTCACCAGAAGGATCTTCATGTTTGTGTGTGTTCTGGGACGCAGAGATTGGTAACGCCTTCCTGCAGTCAGAAGCTTTTATACCGACTGCTAAGAGGAGAGAGAAGGAGTAGATTCAACTTACTTAGAAACAGAAGATAATTCCAACCCTCAACACGGTGGATCTCAACTCACTTGTCAGTGAAAGCTCCAGTCGCAGCCCATGCGTGATGCAGTGGTATAAAAGGTTCTGACTGCAGGAAGGCGTTACCACTCTCTGCGTCCCAGAACACACACAAACATGAAGATCCTTCTGGTGAGTGAGACAGCAGAGGAGACGAGTTCCTGTGTCTTCTGTGCGTGTGCAGCGAACGCCCTACATACGGCTGATTATTTGCAAGGAATTTGAATTTAAATCTGTTCACGCACAAAGTTAAATTAAATACTTCCTTGCTTGTCGAGAATGTTAATTCTGTCTAACTTTGTGCGACGTGGAAAAATAGCAACATTTGTTAAAGTCTAGAACTTTAAAGATTGCTGTTTTAGAAGACCTAGAAGGCAAACCGACTTGTTCAATTAAGACATTGAAGTGAACTTCAAATTTGTTACAGATCTGTATCCTGGCTCTGGTCATTCACGGCAGAGTGAATAAATGCGACTCATCTCTGGAAAAGACAACACACAAGAGAGGAATACAAGGGTCTTCGTTCGGTTCCGAAGGTATCAGCCACGGGCACGGGGCAACCAGCTACAGCGCCATCAGCCACGGATCAGATGCAGGCCAACACGGAAATTTAATTAGCTCCGTGGGGTATGGCCACGGAGGAATTGTTTCCGGAATTGGCCACGGAGGATTTTCTGCAGGAATTGGCCACGGAGGATTTTCTGCAGGAATTGGCCACGGAGGATTTTCTGCAGGAATTGGCCACGGAGGATTTTCTGCAGGAATTGGCCACGGAGGATTTTCTGCAGGAATTGGCCACGGAGGATTTTCTGCAGGAATTGGCCACGGAGGATTTTCTGCAGGAATTGGCCACGGAGGATTTTCTGCAGGAATTGGCCACGGAGGATTTTCTGCAGGAATTGGCCACGGAGGATTTTCTGCAGGAATTGGCCACGGAGGATTTTCTGCTGGAATAGGCCACGGGGGATTCGACCTGTCTTCAGGACACGGTTTGAGTTATGGGGGTTTCCTAGGCGCCGGTCTCGGGGGTGGCGCCGGTTTTAGTGGCGATGCGGGCGGCCAGGTGCAGGTGAACACCATAACACAACAAATTCCGGTCCCTGTCCCTCAGCCCGTACCGGTGACCGTCAACAGACCCGTCCCTGTGCCCGTCCCCGCCCCTTACACCGTGTCTGTCCCTCGTCCTGTCCCTGTCAACGTGCCCCAGCCTGTCTCTGTTACGGTAGTAAGGCCGGTCCCTTACACCGTGAACAGTCCCGTCCCTGTCCATGTACCTCAACCCATCCCTGTCCCTGTACCTCAGCCATACGCCGTCCCCGTGCCTCACGCTGTTCCCGTGCATGTACCTCAGCCTGTAGCCGTCCCCGTGCCTCATGAGGTGACTGTGGAGGTGCCTTACCCTGTGGTGGTTCCTACTGGAGGAGGACTTGGGGCGGGTGGCGCCGGACTGGGACACGGATTCGGAGGATCTTCAGGGTTTGGTCACGGCTCTGCGGGGGGCTACGGAAAACACTAAATTTCACATTGGCTTTGCAGAATTCATCCGCCGATCTTAATTTTCCCACAGCAAATAAAACTATGGACATCGTGAGACGTTATGCAATGTGACTGGTGGGTGTGAGGGTCTTATCGTCTCCTGTACGCATTGGAAATAAAATTACTTTACATATTTTACATATTTATATGTTTTCATACACGAGAAACCCAATTATTCCTCTCCACATCCCACTCGCATGCCCAAATACTGGCCAATACATCTGACCAAAATCTCAGAATAAAACTCGAAGCATTCGTGGGTGGCGGCTCTCCGCACACTTCCGACGAGAATCTGAGGTAGAATTAGCGAAGATGTTGACACAAACATATTTGTGCCTCATAGAGCGACAGTCAGATTCTTCTTTAATTTCACATAACTCGACATTTCACGTAAAATATTATGTATATGCATTGAATTTTGTCATGTGAATGGACAGCCATTGTTCTCATGCACTCCATTTCCCGCCGAAGGTTCAATATCCTTTGATTCATTGCATCGAGTGGCTGCGAAATTACGTTCCTTATGTAAAAGGCGTTGAACTCGCTAACAGCAGTCGTTCGTCTGCATCAGTCGACAATTTTCCTGTAAGGACGCGACAACACTATTTTGGAATTTCTGTCTGAAGGCCGAGTTTGTATCCCAGAGCTTCCTGAGTACGAGGCGCGAGTGTTAACCGCGCGACTGCAATTACAAGTGCGTGCGTGGTCTCGCGGAAATTGCGTAAGGCTTCGACGCATCCTACCAGGGACTAGGAATACTCTGGGTTCAGTCCTTGGTCTGATCTCACCGATGGGGCTTTCCCTATGCTTAAATTTTTACCTATACGAAATTTATTACAGGTTTCACTTAAACATATTTTAATTAGCCTGACTACCTTCTTAGTTACACTGAATTCAAGCAAAATATTGTAATGTTCCTGTTATGGACAAGTAATTTAATTCAATGATATGATTAACATTATTATAAATTTGTCTAAGATTCATTTACGAACGTGAATGAATCTGCGTTACTTAACTATCTGAAAGGCGAGAATATTATCGACATTAATTAAGCTTGTAAATGTATACATAATTAACTTCGCTCTGGGAAAGCTAACGGCTAGCTTCAGGTCCGAGTAGTCCTTCCCGTAACCATGCCTTAGCGCAGAAAAATATTTGTTCTCCTGCCGGTAATCGATCCCCGTTCGTCGATCTAAAGCACAATGCCTACGCTGACTCATTTATCCTGAATCCGGCTTGTAAACACGCATTGTAAGACGATTCAGGGTTCACGCATCGTAAGCAGTTCAGTTCTCATATTTTGATAGCGTGTGCTTAGTTAAATTAAAAACACCTTTGGACGAGCTTTGAAATTCGCGCAAAAAACGCATAGAAGACATAGTTTATAGCTTCCAATAGCATTAAGACGAGATCAGGAAGAACAAATCACCGTATAGGCTAGCACAGGAGCGACGTGATACATTATAAGACATTTAAAATCATCGCCGACACCTGACAGACGTTTCGGAGATTCCTCAGCTAATTCCGACGATTTTCGTACAGTTCCTAAACGTATACCACTTCCTTACACTTGTTTTATATTCTTCGCAGTTCATAATCACTCTCTGGTTCGAAAAGCTCTCAAAACATTGACAAGTTACTCGATAACGAAACAATTCGGCGGTGGAAACTTATTAATTAAAATTCGCTCATAATTTTTATAGAAGTTTTCTAGCGGCTTATGAATTTATTTCGTGATTACGCGTGGGTGTGCCGAATGATATTTAACATTTTAAGAACGGCGTGAACTCCTTTGCCGTATTAGTCCTACTTTTCTGCCCCGTTTGAAAATGTAAATGGAAAAATTTTTGTCAGTCAGATTTATATCCACACACGTCCGATGTTCTAAAATTACCACGACGAATCAGTTGATATGATATGCAATCGTTAAACATATTAGTCATAAATTTCTATTCCCACGACATACAAGGAAAACTACAGTCAAGGAAATAATACTGTATTTAAGGTTTTTGTAAATGTGGATATTTTGTATAAAATTGTACATTTATTACATTAACATAAACAGCATACATGAACGTTTCTTTGGTTAAAGTAATTCAGTCTAGATACACTGGGAAGGTAGTGATGAGAGAGTATGCGAATTACAGCGGGCTTAGTGCTAGTGTTCGCCACTGTAACCTGCAGTGGTACTGTGTCCTGAGTTCTGCAGGGAGACAGAGATCTGTCCCATACCCTTGATCGTGCGTATCCGGACTGATGTTCTAGGCCGTGACTACTAGGTCCAGAATCAAACTCAGATGTGTGTCTTGGTCCGGAGTTTCCGGAGCTTGATATGTAACTAGATTCATGTCCTCTGCTGCTTTGACTTCCTCCAGAAGAATGCCCGAGTCCTACATTTCCGGCACCATATCCAGAACCATGTCCTGTACCGCTTCCAGTAGTTTCAGAACGTTCGAGAACTATGGTTCCAGCATCAAACCCAGAACCATGACCTATGCTGCTTCCGGAAGTTCCAGAAGAATGCCCGAGTCCTACATTTCCGGCACCATATCCAGAACCATGGCCTATAATGCTTCCGGAAGTTCCAGAAGAATGTCCGACTGCTGCACTTCCGGCCCGAAACCGATAACCAAGTCGTGTGCCACTTCCGCCATCCTTAGAAACATGACCTGTGTTTGTGCCAAAAGATCCCGAGCTAACATCGGTGAAGTGTAAGTTTCCAGACGCATGTGAGCCATGGACACTGCTGATGGTATTTCCGATGTTTCCAATGCCTGAGTCTGAAGAATGTCCTGCACTCGCGCCGCCAGATCCAGAGTGATAACCGGAGTCTGCCACACCTCCGGAGACGCCGCCTCCTCTTCCATATCCTCCCGCGTTACCGGATGAGGCGACAACGGATTGTGGGACCTCAACAGCGATGGTTTGAGGCACGAGGACACGTACAGGTTGAGACACTTGCACGGGAACAGCGTGAGGGACGGATACAGCGTATGGTTGAGCAACAGGGACAGGGACCGGCTGAGCCACCGGAAAAGCTACAGGGCGAGTTACTGTGACAGGATAAGGCCTCAAAATAGTCACAGGAATTGGCTGAGGCACGTTGACAGGGACAGGGCGAGGGACAGTGATTGCGTATGGGGCGGGGACGGGCACAGGGACGGGTCGGTTGACGGTCACCGGTACGGGCTGAGGGACGGGGACTGCAACTTGTTGTGTTACCGTGTTCAATAGTACTTGGCCCACAGCACCTTCCGCGAGACTGGCGCCACCGTAACCCCCACCGCCTCTCGATGAGATCCCATATCCTGTCGAAAACACTCCAAGGCCACCGTGCCCTGCTGTGGAAATTCCGTGCGAGAATGGAACGACTCCACCGCTATCAAACCGCCCGCTGCCTCCGTGACTGCCAAATCCAAATGCTGGGTTTCTTGTTGTGATCAGAAGAATTCCTCCCTGACCATACCCACGGGAACTGAGGTCCTTGTTTCCGTGAGCTATGTTGGCCAAATTTATTCCGATACCCCCGTGGTCGTAGCCTGTAAAATGAAGAGTTTCTCCGTGTCCGATGCCGCCTGCCTGGGAGCCGAAACTGATTCCTCCGTGTCCGGAGCCGCCACCATATCCTATACCAAAGCTTCCTCGTTTCTGTGCCTTCTTCTTAGTCTGAGTGTTGTTTTTCAATTCATCTGCAGCGACTGCGATTGCTAAGACGCACATCTGGAAGAACGTAACACGTGAAATAATACTAACGCATAGAAGATTAGGGTGGGACATGGAGGTCGATATAACAGGCAGTAACGTTATCACTATGCTTTTCATGCTCAGTTTCGGAAGTTGTCCGTGGATAAGCAGCGGCTGGAATAACTTAAGGAGGTCATTAACAGTCATCCCGGTGGTCAGTCATCTAGTACAGTTTCAATAAATGTTTCGTTAGTTCCCCAGAATGATAATCTTGATAACAATATTCTTAAAATGAAAGGGAAACTACAAAGCACAGTCGAACTCGTTTGTAACTTAGTGTTAGAGACCGCGTTCGTATCCCGTAGATGACAACATAAATGTTTATAATTGTTTTAATCCTCATGCTTTCAGCAGGCAGAGGGATTGTGCACTAGACGGTGATGAGAATGCCTCAAATTCAATCTGCTTTTAATTTACATGTGAATATAATCTCGACATTCACAGCCATTTCCACATGCCCTAACTTTGTGGCATGCAGAGGGGATGAGGTGACGTCAACAAATTGGGATATTTAGACTTTTTAAACTTTCCGTTGAGACGAGACTCCGCTCTAGAGTTCATGCTTCATGGTATTTATAATTCAGCCGAATACTTTTACAACATTAACAGGCCTACAAAATAAGACCGAAAAGGGGAAATTTGTTTAAGGAATGCACGCGTTCTTTGGAAGTCATTAAATTTTAATAGAATTATGTCAATTACTATACATACATTTCTAAGTGCACAAATCACATGATCTCAATTTAGTCTTTAAGCAACATAAATTAATATTGATTCGTCATAAGTCGGGTTAGATTTGTATTATCACTGGGCTCGTACGCAAGAGGCCATGGGATCCAGTTCTCGCCATATTTCTATTTTACATTATTCTTAGAATTAATTGAATAAAAATTTTCTTGGATATTATCCATCTCTAGTAAATATAAAACGTAAAACGACGTTTCGGAGATGGGACTCTATCCCGTCCCATCTCCGAAACGTCGTTTTACGTTTTATATTTACTAGACGATGGATAATATCCAAGAAAATTTTTATTCAATTGACTCTTCACCATCGTCAAGAAGTTTTAGATCTGATATTCTTAGAATTGCTTAAATATTTTTCTGTATTTTATAAAAATCTATAATCGTACATTTTTGGTTATACTTCACCTCACAAGTTTGTTCGTCCGCCATGTTGGTATTACTGATTGCAAGAAACTTAAAAGTATGTGATTTTAGGGTAAACCTCCTTGTGGCTTAATGTCCATACTAAATTTATTCCAAATCTGTCTATCGGTTACGCGTTCATTTCATGGATAACTTGCAGAGGACGCAAAATGATCGGATGTACGTCATTTAATTTCACTAATTAATTAATAAAACTGTCTGAAAAGGAAATCCATGACAGAAATGTCAGCTTTCGGATTATACTCACAAGAAGAATCTTCATGGTGTCGATGAGACTGAGGAGATGTAGTGAGTAATGATGATGATGATGTCTGGTGCTACGTTTATATACATGGAGCAACTGCGCATGAACGATGAGCGACAAACCTGAGCTTTCACTGTCTCGAGTCGTGCCGAAACACTCCAGTTTCCACGCACTCCCCCAGTAACAATGCCACCTTTCCCAAAGAAAGTGACGAGAGTTTGACACTGTGACTTTGTGGGACAGAACTCTGACTCTCAGCCCAGAGCAATTTAATTGAGTTCGGAAGTCGCTGCACGCATAAGAACGTCTGAAGACACTAACAAATACATTTTAGATGCCTGATACGATAATGACACGTTGGAAATCAATTTCCTTGTCATCAACTTTGATTCCCGCATTTATTTTACATATTTTAACTCAAAAATAAAGAAAGTAATATTTTTGGGGGGGTAATTCATGTAACAGTTAAAAGATGTTCATTTTACAAAAAGAAAATCCTTAGATTAATGACTGGTGTTAAACCTATAACTTCACGTAGAAGTCTATTTAAGAGATTAGAGATCTTAGCTCTTTCTTGTGAATATATTATTCTCATTAATGAACTTCATTGCGAATAACCAAGAATATATTTAAGCTAATTTTTCTGTACACAAGAAATAAGTACCAGCTTCTCAGGTGAACTGAAATCTCCCGTGATTGGTGGCTTCAGAATTTTGGACAATCTAACATCCAGTCTCACGAGACGCATGAATATAAAAGTCACAATTTAAGTACTTAGATGCACACTCGTTTTAATATATTGATAAATTTCTGAAATTTGAAAATGACTCATATTTTTTGTAAAGGTTTTCATGCCTTGGTACAGAATAAATGGGTAATATAATTTATTTGCTGTGTATGAGAGGAGTTATCTGAAATTCTACGTGAACATTTTCTAATAATTTGTATTCCACTTGTATATACGTATCAAAGGAATGTAATATATGAACTGATGATCATGATACATGAAGCATTAATTATGTCATGTATTTGATAAAAGTGATCGCTTTCTCTGGCGTAAGAAAAATTACAATTACTTCAAAACGCTGACAGTACCTGAGGAAACTCGCGTAACCGTAAATTTTCTTTGATTCCCCAGACAATTAAATACGATAATGTCGAGTCAAAACAGGAGCCAGAGGGTCAAATGAATTTGTTGCAGACATAGTTATAATAAGATAGTCGATAAGGTCCTATTTCCAGGGGATTGTAGTAAAGAATCTTTGGCTTTCTTTAGAAAATAATTCAACGCTACTCTGTAGGCTTTTAAATTTCTTAATTAGGAAGATATATGTGAATGCAGATAAGATAAAATACTAAACTAATTACAAATCGGAGGGGGGGATTTGGACCCAGCTGGAAGTAATTAATGAGAGGTGTGGAAAAGCTAATTAGCTTCACGATACATAGCTCACGTATCGATTCGTTTTTGATTCCATCGCATATGTGCTGACATCTGTTGTGTCATCTTGACTGTATTTAATGTACTTAGCCCATCCAGGAAAGTCAGCATTAAAATAGATTATTTATTTATTTATTTATTTAGTGTTCTGTCTGACGACAGGTCCATATGAACAGGATCCTTCCATCCTTTTCTCTTCTCGGACTGGGACCTGTTCATATACGTTCTTGGCAGATGATCCAGAAGTGGTTTGCCATTGCCTTCTTCTGTGTGTGAATGGAGTAATTGTTGGGATGCCACGGAGGAAAACTCCTTGTTGCCTAGACCACGGCCTTGCCCAATACAAGTTATAAATTCGGGCACCAACAACACGTTACAGTATTTGGCTTTTATGCACACAGTGATGAACATTCTGGTTTTTGTAAAATAGGCGAGTCACTTCACCACCGGCTCCCGAAGGAGACAGCGTCCCCCGGCTTCCTTTCATCTGGGGGCATCTACCGTCACTTGTGTTCGGTTGGCGACACACAAAGCTTCGTTCTGATCATAAGCGTGACTTGGTGAAATTCTTGAGATTATTAATCCAGTTCCAGCTCCACATTCAGACGTTTCAAGAGAATTGTATCGCCTTCATCGCTAAACATCTGGAGCATCAGCATCGCAGTTGTGTTCCTGGAGAAAATTGCTCGACAGAAATGAAGATAAATGACGCAAAATGAGAAGGGAATGAACAAACCCGTCCATGTCACATCCGCGGAGGAAAGTCTTTCTTCAGAAGCTGGGAGTCTCTCAGCTGGTTAACAGATTCAAAACATTCTTGGAACAGGAAGGACATTCCGCGTACACAACAGCCCACATCTGGATCCCATCAAAAGACGGATCAATGTCAGGTGAGGAGTACAGGCCGTGAATGTTATCAACCTGAAATTTTCTCTAAAATCCGACTTCGTCCCTAAAAGGAACACAGAAGTTTTACTAGAAGCTAGTAGACAGGTGGGGCTAGAAATAAATTCAGAAGAAGACGACTATGTACGTGTTATTATCCCGTCAGCAGACAGGAGGGCAAAATTATCTTAGGGTGACGAAGAAATCTTTTGGAAGTGTGACAGAGTTAAAACATTTGGGAACATTAACAAATCAGAATGACATTCAAGAGGAAATTAGAAGGAGACTAAATTCACAGTTCAAAATATTTTGTCTGTTTTCTAAGAACCTGAAGATTAAAATATACAAAACAATAATTCTGCCTGTTGTTTTCTATGGGTGTGAATCATGGTCTCTGACTCAGAGGGAGGAGCACAGATTGCAGGTGTTTGAGGAGGATATTTGGGCCTAGGAGAGAAGACGATGGGGCTTGGAGAAAACTGCATGATGACGAGCTTAAAAATCTGTACTTCTCCCCCAGTATTGTGAGGGTGATTAAGTCGAGAAGAATGAGATGGGCGGGGCATGTAGCGCGCATGGATGGGACAAGAGGTGTGCACCTGAGGGGAAGAGACCCCTGGGGAGACCTAGACGTAGATGGGAGGATAATCTCAGGCGGGATCTATGGGAGATAGGAGTTGAAGGAGACTGGATTTTGTTGGCCCAGGACAGGGTCCGGTGGAGGGCTTTGGTTAATTCGGTGATGAACCTTCGGGTTCCGTAAGCCATCTGGTTGGTTGGGTCCACTATTTGGGAAGCCTGAGGGGAAGAGACCGCTGGGGAGACCTAGACATAGATGGGAGGATAATCTGAGGCGGGATCTATGGGAGATATGAGTCGAAGGAAACTGGATTTTGTTGGCTCAGGACAGGGTCCGGTGGAGGGCTTTGGTTAATTCGGTGATGAACCTTCGGGTACCCTAAGCCATCTAGTTAGTTGGCAGTAATTCCTGTAGATCCATCTCAGTACGCGGATGCAGGTACTTTAAGCATCAGCTACTAGATGGCAGATACGTTTGAAATGAATTTCTTAGCTTAACCTGATTTTCCACGAAAAGTGAAAGTATTTCTAGTGACTGTAAAAGGAGTCTAGTTTTTTTGTCATATTCAGAACTAAATCCAATTACCTGTGCAAGCAACGTGACAGAATTCTGTAACTCCGTTTCTTGTAACAGAGACAAACTTCATTGTCGATAATGACGTAATTTGCTTCATTGTGACGCGATAAGAAATAGTTGATACCACAAACGATAGAAGGCGTCACTATCGACGACAGCACACGTCCCGCAGATCATGGGCAGGGTTGCCAACTGTCGGTTTTTCGGATTAAATGTACAACACTCGACCGTATGCAAAAGTCCGGGTTTTAGTCGATGGGAAAAACGTCTGTAATCTCCGCTTCAGAGAATATTTCTTACAACAGTATCACATAATCTGTCTTTTAAGAAGAATCCCAGAATTTAATGTTTAACCGAAGCATTGCAGTTGCGAGTTCATCCTGAAGATGGCAACTACAATGTTTGCCGAAACGTGTGGGGCACCTTCAACACTGCTAAGTCAATCCCCGAGAGCCGAGGTTATGCAATGTTACAAGAAGTTCTGGGAAGAAATTTTGGTGTCCACTGGCCTTTTATATGCGGAACAGATGAAGGCTTAGAAATTATTATCCACATTTGTGTAAGATCTTTATTCGAACTGCGAGTTATAGGCATTTTATTAAATGAAAGGTTTGTTGTTCATGGTGTTTTTATTTTTATTTGTAGTGTTCTGTCTGACGACAGGTCCATATGAACAGGATCCTTCCATCCTTTTCTCGGACTGGGACCTGTTCATATACGTTCTTGGCAGAGATGATCAGAAGTGGTTTGCCATTGCCTTCTTCTGTGTGTGTGAATGGAGTAATTGTTGGGATGCCACGGAGGAAAACTCCGTGTTGCCTAGACCATGGCCTTGCCCAACACAAGTTATAAATTCGGGCACCGCCGAGAATCGAACCCGAGACCCCAGGATTACAAGGCCAGCGTTCTAACCGCTAGACCACCGTGGTGTAGCGTGAGATAAAAAGGACCCGGCCATGTCTGTCTGTCCTTCTGTCTCTTATTTCAGCTGAGATTTTGGTTTCGACTGAACCATCACCGTGTGTTAAACGTTGAACTGTCAATCATTGCTGATACTATGGAAAGCTAGGAACTGTCCGACTGGGAAGTATTCATCTATCGTTCAGGCGAAGGTATTTTGAAGCCACTTTCACCTCTGATTTGTTTCGAGTTAAGAGTCATCGATGTGTTTACTTCCATTCACTACAAAGTAAATGTTATGTCAGCAAAGAATAGTGGAGACGCGTTAAACTGGGAGTTGAATTCAGACGTCTCAAATAAAACGAATTTTCGACGAGACAAATTGTCTCGGGGCCAAGTCAGTGCCGAATACAGGGTGTAAAAGTAAGTCCTTTGCGTTATATACCGCTGCACCTGATGATTCGAGTTTATTTCAACGCTGCGACCGGCTTCATATCGGTGTCCTTTGGGTGGTCTGGTGGCTGCCACGTACAGAAAGCTAGAGTAGGATTTTCAGGCAAGATTCACTTCATCGGAAACTTTGCTTGTCATAATGAAAAAAATATTTCGCACATCAGATCCCAAACGGACAGGTCTTTGAAAAACATCTAAATTCAGGTCGGAATAGTCTAAGTGTCTTCTTTACATTTATTCTTTTCTTGATCTCGGTGCCAATTTCTCACGTCATAATGAAAGACCCCAAGCTTCATTTTACAAATTGGTCGGCTTCTTGAAATATCTTAAGAACATTCCTCTCTTCACGCCTTGACAGACAAACTTTGCTCCCATAAGACACGGAATGCATTACCCAAAAACAGACTGAAACTCGGATAGTTTTTGACATGTAACCGCTGAAACGCCATTTAGATTCGGAGACTCAGATGCTTTCTCGGGCTGTGCGAATTCAAGTTCGCTCGCTGCCAGCTCTTCACTTTCTCTTGTAGCCACACCCTGAGGTGCAACGACATGACGTTCATTTGCCTTCGTTTCAGTCCCCGATGTCTGTCCCTATCGAGACGAAAGGCCCGTTTGGGTGAGCATTTCTTGTGGGGAGATGTTCCCCAATGCAGACACTCGTTATTTTATGAGATGCAGTCGTAAGGTTAGGTTAGGTTCGTGGCTGTTGGAGGGTCACGTAGGCAATTACCACGCTTTTAGATTGTCTTGTGTTTGCGTTAATGCAGGCCATAAAATGAAAGCATGATGTGGAAGTCAAATCTTTTCGACCGTTAGTGTTTTTCGTCATCGAAACTGCTGAAGGGATGTTATGAAAATTGGTGTTCCGTATCTGTGCTAAAACATATAGCGGACAAATTCATTTTTAGTTCGTATGACTTGAAATAATCTCCATGTTTTGTGAAGTTCAACTGAAATGTTGTCATTCTTCTGGGTCAAATATTTTGTTCTTAAATGTGCATGCCTGTACAGAATGTGGTAACCATTTTACGATATATCAAAGCAACACCGCGGAGAATTTCCGAGAAGCAAATAGTCCCTCAGCTACCCAAGAAATGTCGCGTCTTGTATTGAAGCTTAAGGTTCATTACCGCGTTCACAAAACCCCTCCACAGGTCCATATCCCGCGCACAATAGAGTCGCCTAAGATATCAATTTTAATATTATCCTCCCGTTTATGCATAATTCTTCTATGTAGTCTCTTGTCTTCAGTTTTTTCGACTGACTCCCTCCGTCATTTGTCCATTCTAACAGTTTCTGGTGTTGATGATGATAAAGCTTGTCATCAGGACACTTGCGACCGTGGCTGGAGTTCGACCCAGAATATCCCAAATGAATGTCTGGGGTGTCACTGCTGCTTCGGGATGGGATAATAAATTTTCAACAGTTTACTGTGAGCTGATGTTTTATTAAGCCTGGTTTATTTTTATTTATTTTTATTATTTTTTTACACGAAGCTTCGTCTACAAAGTATCACATCATGCACACTACGGAAAAGTTAGGCTATGCATATGTTTGGTCTGTTTACACAATGGCGCTGCTAGTTTGTGAAAATAAAGTCAAAAAATATTTATTCTGCGTTCCCAGATGAATACGCAATATTTTCTTTGACTGAATAATTTTAAAATAATGACGTCGCCTGGAAGATCCATCGTAAATAGTAAATTAAAGACAAACCAGACCATTTGTATCGTAGCACGTAGTCAGTGGGAGAAATTTACGTGCGCTGAAAAAAACGCGTTTCTGAAGTTCTCATGGATTCTCTGAATTTCTTCGGCACATGTGCAGAGAAATGCGTTTTAATTTGCTACAGTTTACATTCAAGAAATTTTTAAAATTAATATTAAGGAAATAAAAATTTTATATGGTTGATTTTCAGCAAATTACTCGAATTCCAAATATTTAGATTATTATTAAGTGATTTTTCCCCCCCAGATTTGTCCATTATTCCTCTATTCAGACAATGTGATCGAGCTCTTTCAGACTTCGTAACACATGTGAAGTAATTTGTATATTGCTCTATATATTTCATGATTTGTTTAATTAAAACATTTGGAAAAAAAAACTATATATAAAATTTGGAAAGGTTATCCAATTTAGACTGCAAGTAACTGTAGCGTTCGACAGACATTGTATATATTTGATGGATGAAGAGAGACATCTATAGCCTGATTTAGCTATTTTCGTTCATATTTGTATCAGTCAGTGCGTTTTAAACATAAATCTTTAGGCGCGTGTGAATTTGAAGCGATATCCCAAATTGAAACAGTTTAGCACACGTTTAAAATTTCTGTTGAACAGTGTTACTAATTCAGAAGTTCGTTTTAGACTTTTACTCCACAGTGCTCTCGCCATATATTTTTTTTTTATTTCCAGAGATGTGAAATTATAAAATTGTCAACTCTGCACTTTCGAAACAGGCTGTGATACAGGCATATATTACAAATAGGGATTAACACGAGGTTTTGTTTCCTGACGGAATTTTCATAAATCGTTCTTTGAAATACTTGTTAAAAATTGTTTATCTTTAATTGTCTTTGTGCTAAATTGACCCATCTAATAATATCTAAAATAATAAATTATACATTTATATGAAAGCAAAATTAAGCATAATGAAGATATTTAACGATCTTTTCCTCATTCAAAAATGTTTTGGCGAGGGAAAGTGTCTCAATCTGTTGAGATAATCTGACTGCAGAATTTAGTCGAGACTCAGCGAGATCTCAGACACGTTGTAGAACGTTGTGCCATTGTTGCATGTCAAAGCTCACTGGACGACCGCTGTCTGAGAGACTGCAGTCTTTGTATACCCCCACAGCCTCGCCCGAGTAAGAATAATAACGTTTAAGTCATGATACCCTTGTAAGTGACAGAATAAAGCAAAGAATGGACCCTGGATGTTGGTGCGGAGGAGAGGAACGAGTTCATGTTCAGACCCAACCTCACAATGTCTTCAGCATCGCTCTTCTTATGTGGGACCGTGGTGGTAGCCATCTCGTGAGGGCGCGGGGACTGCAGCACTGGGAGGAGGCCCGGCGTCCTGTGTCGGTGGAGGTGCCCCTTTGCCGCCCTCAAGATACGAGAAGCTAGAAGCAAGGCCGCTGTCTGAAACCTTCGCAGGTTCAGAGCTGTAGCCCGGTTCAGGAGTGTTTCCGTCACTATTGGCACCGCTGTTTGATGGCTCGAATCCTGGTGACGACAAGGGAAACTGAAAGCCATGTCCATATCCAGTGGTCAAACCATGGCCTTCTGGAAGTCCCAGCAAAACACCTGCTGTACCGTGACCAAAGTTCAGGACCTCTCCTCCGAAGCCGCTGAAAGGTACGCCGCCTCCGACCAAGAAGGGGGATGGGAAGGGGACAGGGTGGGGAAAAGGAACGGGATATGGTTTTGGGACGGGGACTCCGATGGGATGTGGGACAACTACTGGGACAGGTACGGGACGAGGGACGGTCACTGGGTAGGGTCGAGGAACCGGAATTGTCACAGGATGAGGGACAGCTACTGGGTACAGTTTAGGGACGGTCACTGGGTAAGGCTGGGAAACAGCCACAGGGACGTGACGGTTCAACGCAACTGGGACAGACTGAGGGACGGAGATTGGGCGGGCCACTCGGAAGGCTTCGAAAAGATGCCCTCCACTTCCGGCTTGACCATTGCCAGTGCTGAACCTGGCGACAGGAACGTATTATCGGTTACTTACGATCGACTAAACGACTGTGGAAGTGTTTCATGCATTACAGCAACACCTTCTTGGACAATGTCCATTTTCTGAAGTATTATTGATAAACACGATGTTTCGGGAGATGGCACTACTCCTGTCTTCAGGTGATTGGTTGTCATTTTAGTAAGATTTAATGTTTTCGCAGCGTTCAGTCCGTAGATGAATGTAATCTGGGTTGTAGCGCCCTCTATTCTGGTAGAGGTTTACCAAAGTGTCAAAGGTTTAATCGCCCTGATGATGGACGTAGTAAGGACATCCGAAACTCTGGCAAACTTCTACCAGACTACACTGCGCTACAATCCAGAAGACAGCCATCTTCGATTGTCATTTTAGTGGTACATTTATCTGTATTAGTAAAAACAACTGAAATCGAATCGGAAATCTGCAGCAAACTGACTTACATAGGATTACACGTTTCTAAATTGATCATTGATGAACATTACAGGACATTTATTTGCCAGCATTTTAAAATATTTCTCTTTCAAATCGAAATATTTTAAATAACAGGCAAGAAAGGCGAATAACCGATTTAAAAGTTCTGCAAACCCCCATCAGTACCCGCGGTAACGAGCAAGACCAATACCGGCGGACACGTACGACTGCTTGTCCTTACCCCTGTCCCAGATGATCGGCAATGCTGCCACCTGCGTATCCGGCTCTATCTTCTGTGCCCCTGTAGCCACCGTTATCAGAAATACTTCTTGAGTCGACCCTTCCGCCTTTATCTGCGTTGATGACAACAGTTCTCTTATATTTGTTATTCTTTTGTTCAGACTCCGTCTTCGCCAGGAAAACAAAACTTAGGAGCAGGAATACCACCTGCAAGGCAAAGGGACACATCTGAGTAATCGTACGTCCGTTCTCCTAGATCAGTCAGCACATGCGTAAGTGTCGCGGTCGAGAGGTCCCGGGTTCAAGTCTCGGCCAGGAGACCGTATATCCTGACTGCTGTTTTTCGTGGTTTTCCTCACTTCCTCCAGGAAATTTCAGGGGTAGTACCTTAAATCAGGCCACGACCTCTTCCTTCCACATGCCTTCTAATTCATTCGAGCTGCTGATAAAGCGTGGTTAAGTAAAGTATAAATAGGGAAAAGAACAAGTACATAAGAAAAGCATGATTGTCTGTTCGCAGAATCCTAAGACCGAGACGAGGTGCCTCTTGGCTTAGCGGATAGTAATCAGCTCGAGTGAGGTTCAAGCTCTCTTAAATTCCGAAGTGCTGAGGATTATTCTATTATACATGAATATCTGAAACACATATACAAAGTTGAACGTAAAATTACAATCAGAAATGTCTACACTGCTAATATAAATGTATGCAACTACCACAGAGACACTCAGTTGGAACCAAAAAAAAGACATTATATATTTATATATTCATAAATATAATTCAAATATTTGTAAATGATACGTAGCAAGACGTTTCGGAGGACAATAACATTACACAAAATTAGGCCCTTCTTAAAAATTTATTATTCAGAATTAGCCATAATATTTTCATTGGCGTAAAGATGAATACATGAGTTTTGTCGCTTACCAGTCGCGCTGTGGTAGACATTTCTTTTGTGGGTCTCCAGAAGCTCTGCCCTGCAATGCCTTCCGCTCCAATATTTATAGGAAACATCCTTTCTCCTCCAGGTTTCCACAAGCCACGCATTCCAAACGTCGATCCTCAATCAACATCACTGTTTCGTTTCAAATTCGTCTCCTTTCATATTTCTCCTGTCGTCGTCAATTTCCTGGTCATCTCAGCAAGAACATTCTACGAGGATAAACCAGCAGAGGGCAGCAATGAAACCAACGGCTGCACGATCTACCTTGTTTCGGAACTGCAAAACATTTCGGAACCATTTTAAGTCTTCATTTTAGCCGGACATTAGAACGTCGACTCTTGGATCTTCAACGGCACAAAATTTTTATCTGGATTTAAGAAGGAAACAGTCATTAATGGTGAAAGTATCTAGTGGCACGTTTGCTGGGTAAGCGTGTGGTTAAGGCATGTGTTCATGTACCATCCCTCTTTTACTCCGACGGAAAACCACATCAGGAATATCGTACACGAACCAAGAACCTCAAGAAATACGCTAATTCATTGACTGGAACATTATGAGTTGCTTTCACACAAATATTAAAAGATCCTAGCCTATCCTCTTTGAGGAATTGGCCCACATTCGCCTAGAGAGGTTCATGACAATCAACAAAACATCCACTAGTAAACACGAGCAGTAAACATTCTGGTGTGACTCTAGCTGAAAATTCAGCGGAAAATCTCATAATTTGTTACGTGAAGTAGCTAAATTCCTCATATTCGCAAGTGTAACTACTGTGTTACACAGAAAGGCAGATACAAAATAATAAAAACACACGCACAGAGACGAAATCACACTTCCAAAACGGGAAGACGGATGCAGACTAGACAAAGCCTATTGCCACCCAACTTCCCGTCTTCAACAACCACTGCGTTACCCAAATTCTCACAGGCACGTGGTCACGAAATATCCTTTAATCAAGAATTCTCCTTAAATATCTTTCACGTCCTATCTTCTTCTTACCACGCGGTGTCTTAATCTTTTTAACACTTCCTTTGACTATCGACAGGGTCCCGAAAACGCCCATCATTAAGGCTTCTATTTGCCACGCGAATTAAAAAAGAAACTTTCCAATTCGTTTATTTTACTCAGCAATGTTCTCGATACCGTACAGATTTGATAACAGTCCATTCATCTCTTCCGGAAACGTGTCGTTTAGTTCCTACACTGAACTTCCTGCGAACTGGGAGTAGATTACGGGAGTGGTAGAAGAAATAACCATAGCCGACTGACAAGAACTGAATAAAAATACTTTTTAATCGCTTCTCGAGTGCTTCACTGGTAACTAAATACGAACGATGAACTCTGTTTAATTCCGTAAGACTTCACTCCAGGATGACCACACGCCCAGCACTCCTCAACCTACTCCACAGGCCAAACAACAGATAGAGGTCACAGCCTCCGGAAGTCGAAGGAAGAGATCAAGCTTGTCAGAAGGCCAGAGGACTCAGCTGGATCAAGGAAGATGGAAAAAGCCGGCTCAGGGTAATCCATTGCATCAGCTCGAGGTAGCTTCTTCAATTCCAAGTCGGAACTCCTTCGCTCTTATCACGGCAATCATCCTGACCTCTCAATTAATCTCATATCCTTTCGAAAAGAAAAGAAACCCCCTCATAATTACCCACAAAATGGAAGGCTATTAGACGACGCTGTCACATTTTAACAACAGCAAACTCTATCCCTTCAACTCTTACCCGGAATCCGATAAGCCTATCAATGCAGTTACCCGAAATGTTCTCGTAAGCACCAGTCTCGAAGATGCTGTAGTCGTTCTGCAGGAACTGGGCTTCGACGCTAGCTACAGCCCCTCTCCTGAGCAATTCTTTACCATTGTAACCATGCCCCTATTCCTTGTCACCCTGCCAGAAGTCACCAACCATATTCGACCTTAAGACCTCTTCAACACAGACATAAAAGTGGAAACCTACGGGTCCCAAATTGTACTAAGGCATTGCTCCAACTTCAAGACCTTCGGCCACATGCGGGTCTACCGCAGGCGACCACCGAGATGCCTCCGGTGTGGGGGTGGCCACCGCCTCCAAGAATGCCCCAAGAAGGAAAGTAGAGGTCGTCTTCCGAAATGTTGTAACTGCGAGGGACAGCACCCAAGGAGCTAGAGAGAGAGGTTACAGCTGCGTCTAGAACAGTGGTATTCAACCGGGGGTACGCGAAGACATCTTAGGGGGTACGTGAAATTTTAAAAAAATATATTATTTTATGATAAATACTGAGTAATCAGTAATGTAATTTATTTAATTTATTTTAGATGTAGATTATATAATATGTATAACTTGAATTATACACCAACAACTTTGGGGGTACAAAGTTGGAAGAGAAATTATATCTCGGGGTACGCGAACAAAAAAGGTTGAATACCACTGGTCTAGAAGGTGTCCCAACGTAAAAAGCAGTAGCAATCAAGATCCCAAGTGTGTAATGGCAGCGTCAAACCGGTTACGCCACGGAAGACTTAACCAGAAACATCTGACACGATCCCAGTGGCTGAACCCAGAGACCAGATCGGGACGTATTCACCCTCACAACAGTGCAGTAGACCATGGTCAGTTTGAAGACAGCGTTAAACAACAGAAGATGGTCTTTTCTCTCTCATTATGAAGGATCATCACATAAAATAATACCTGTGATTCGGTTTGGATTTTAGGTTGTCATGGCGACGAATTCCTGGCCAACTTTTAACTGTACGACGTATTTTTTTCGTGTCTGCAAAGCTGGACTCGTGAAGGTACGGAGTTGACGCCGTCCATTGTGTAAAACCCAAACAGTTGAACCTCCGGAAGTAGGAGATTTGTCCATCCACTGGCTGTCATTACAGCCTCGGCTCTAACAAACACAATCTCTTACATTTCGGTAAAGTTAATCACGATTAAAGAAAGCCTTTCTCCTCACCCTGTCACTTGATAACGGCGCTGATAATAATTAAACTTGCTCTCTCCCGCGAACATTTCCTTCCTGGACAAAACGCGAGCCCACGCTCACTTCATTGCAACAGACCAAGTTCAGTTGCTCCGAGCAACGCATTTCAAAACACTTCCCTGCAGAATTCTACAATATTTTTTTGAATATCTAGTATCGTTCATTAACATCTTTTGCCAAAGTCATTTATGGACTCGTGTTGTTGCCGGTAATCGAACGCTGGACGTTTCGAGAGCGACTTGCAATTTCTCGGTAGAGGTGGTTGGTTCTGATATAAAAAAACTCTCTCCTTCCGTGTATAAGACAGCATTTGAATTGTTACTGGAGGACCTCGTCACTGAACGATCAACTGTTCTTACTTTAATTGAAGCTACCGTGAAGCTGTACGTAGCAGTGAAAGGATGGACTTTCGCTTGTAGCAGGAGAATTAATAGGTTTGAGTCCGAAACGAGGAGCTGCTCGCAGAATCAGTGCTGGCAACACGACATAAACAAAGAAAGAGACTAATTATTATATTACTTTCATTGCCTTAATGAAGACCACAACAAACAACAGAGTCTCTGCTTCCGAATGACGTAAACGGGACGTCGGAACGTCTCGTAGTCGTGTGGTGATTCACAACAAACATCAGATTCTCTGCTTCCGAATGACGTAAACTCGTGACAGGTTCTTCGGGGACATCGGAACGTCTCGTAGTCGTGTGGTGATCCGGGCTGCAAGCGTCTGACCAGAGCGTCCTCCGATCCTGCCTTCGGGTGACCTTGAAATAAGGAATAGGACATGGAAGTGCTGCTACGAGTGTGGTACTTCGTTATCGAGAGGCCTCTGGTTCGATTCTCTCTTCGTAGACTTCTTGTGTCCATATTTGATTCTCCTTTTGATCAGTCTAGTAATCCGTTGCTTATGTACTCTGAAAATGGATGACTTAGATTTGAATTTAATATAAAGTTTGCTTTAAAATGACCCATAACGAAACGAAGGTAAATTTTCTCGGCAGTTTTTAGTGTTGGTAGTTCCGTTACCAAATTTAATGGAAATCCGTTGCGGTTAAACGTGGGGGAAAGTCCTGACGGATACATCCGATCTATTATTTGGTCTCTACTTGTAGTTTAAGCAAAGAGAAAACTGTTTAAACAAAACTTCTTTTTTCAATATGTGGGAGGAGGTTTGGCTTCCGATTTTTAAAGCTGAGGATACGAGAGCAACAGTTCCGTGCTCGGTCTGGTTTCTTATCGCAGTTAATGGTTCAGTGGTTACATACAAACGCTTTCGAACGCCCCCTTCCGTCTGATAAGAAACTTCCTTCCCGACAGTCGTCTGTCTTGGCTTGACATCGTGCGTGATCAGATTCATTTCTCAGCCCCTAAACCCTTTAAGGAAATGTTTCTCAATCTGTACGCCGCAAGCTTATGCCGGCAAAATGCTGATGTGGGAAATGTTTACAGAAAAAACACACGAAGTTCGATCCAGTCACAAACCTGGCAGAATCAGACAAGAACACAGAATTTTCTAGCTGAAAAATTCACACAGATGAGGAGACTCATAAATTGTACTCCTCGCCAAATATAATTAGACTGATCTAATCAAGGAAGATGAGATGGGCAGGGCATGTAGCTCGCACGTGAGAGAAAAGGAGTGCATACAGGTGGGCAAACCAGAAGGAAAGAGACCACTAGGAAGACCTAGACGTAAGTGGGAGGAGTATAATATTAAAACGAATCTTAAATAAATATGATGGGGTGGTGTGGACTGGATTAATCTGGCTCGGGATAGGGACCAGTGGCGGGCTCTTGTGAACACGGCAATGCTCAGCTCCATGGAATTAATAAGTGAGAAAGTAAATAAGACAGCTCAATGTGTTCGTTCAGTGACTTTTCGAAGCTTGACCTGGGTTCGATTATGCAGGACGTGGGCGAATGCTCACGATGCGGAAACATTCGCTCTGAGAGAGAGAGGGGGGGGGGGGGGGGGGACCTGTAGAATTCACGGCAAAAGACGTGCGTTCTTTACAGCAGCAAAGTAGAGCAAGTTCACACTCGGTTTAACGCCTCTTCATGCGGTAATCCGGCCTTGGAACTCATTGCCACAAGATCTGCTGTAAGGCGCTTTCGAAACTCAGAATTTTAAAAATACACGTCGTCTGGCTTCGCCGTATCTATTGGTCTGTCTGTCTGTCTGTCAACATGTAACAACTGCTAAGTAGATTTTCGTAATATTTTATATTGGGCTGGGAATCCCCCGCGTGGGGAATCTTTGTCTAGGAATTACTCGGCCGTTAGCAAAGGTCACGTTCTAAAGAAACATAGGAAAACGTATACATTTTACCTTTCTTCAAACAGGCCACGACTGCTTAATTTGACGTAATTAATCTGGGCTTTGAGGTGACGTGCAGATAGTTGATGGCGCCAGGTTCAATTGCTCGAGACTTATAGCCTCTCATTGGACTAAAATCATCAATAAAACCCGCGCCTGATGTCAGACTATAATCGAGTCCACAACGTTCAAACAACAGATCTGTCAGTCGCTCATCTGGTCAAGAAATTCCTGTTATGTTACGGAACACGAAAGCTCATTACGGTGAGTGCAGAGACACCGGAACTGGATCCTAGTTCTAGCCAGCTTAATCCAGTCCAAACCTTCGCTCCACATTTTTACGCGATCCAATTTCAGACTCGTTTCGAACTGAATGTTGTAAACACGCTATTAATTTCGATATATCGGCTCGTCTGTCCGTATCTAACTATTCGAGATCAAATGAACGAACGGATTTTTATTAAATTTGTTATTGATTACCTTTACTGATCTGTGTTTACAAATTCCAATTTCGTCCAAAATCAGATGATATCAAAGTGCCTTTACCAGGAAACCAAAATTCGCAGGGCCCGCATGGAAACTCCCTAGCCTACATCGCAAATATATGGGGGAATCCTTCGTGATTACGTCATCGCTGATCGCGGGCTACATGCCCCTTCTTGGTATATTCATTCTAATAATATTTAGATATGAACACAAAGACGTGAAATATATGTTTCGACCATGTTGGAAGTTTTAGAACACGCCCACAATGCTTCGTATTGTTAATTCCGGTCCCGAGCTAGGAGTGCGGGCGTAATCAGACCTGAAGCGTCCACGACGGCTCTGCGTCTCAATGTGAACTGAGCCTCTCATTCCTGATCTTCTTCTGTTCGCTTTTCGTAGTGAGAAAGTGTTTCCAGTTCAGTTCTTGACGGCAGGTAAAACCGTTCCACTGCCTTCTCACCAATGAAAGGCAAGTTGTTTCTCTGGCAACACGTCGTGTTTATATAAAGGTGGCCTAGAACTTGAAAAGACTCAGTTTCTCGTTGACAAGACACGAATTGGCTTGCGAGGAAAAATGGACACAGCGATGGTGAGTTGCTGTACTTTGTCGTTCACAGTAAGATGCTGTATCAACTACATGTTGTGCCGGGAGGGACGATACTATTTGTAGGTTATTTAATGACGATGAATAAATCGCACTCTACTGAATTAATTGTTACGTCGTAGCTTATGGTAGGTGTCAAGGATGTGAGAAAATATTTTAGAAAATGACGTAATCTACTTGTATTAAAATATATAATAAAATACAGGTCAATACACAAAACTATATTTGGGTGTTAAAATTTAAATGTTAAAATTTAAAATTTAAAATTAGCGCTATTCATCACTATAAGGATGTATATTTCAAACTTATTTGCATATAAAATGAATAACTCCCAAAACACCCTCAGCTGGTTTACAGCATACTTCAAAACAAACATAAGATGGGAAAAACGAGAAGACCAGCGAAACATATTACAATAATAAATTATTGAAAGGCATGCATTTAATATAAAACAGTTTTAAATAAAAAACAACACCTGAAGATGATGTATTACATCGAAACATGTTGTGAAATGAAGAAAAGCGCGCAAATGTAACATCCTTATAGTGATGAATAGCGCTAATTTAAAATTTTAAATTTTAACACCCAAATATAGTTTTGTGTATTGACCTGTATTTTATTATATATTTTAATCCAAAACACAAACATGACGCATGTAAACCTTAAATCTACTTGTAATTTGTCTGATTTCTTACATACAACAATACAGAATTTCTGGACATTGTCGCCCCAGTTACTAACAACAGTGATGACGTAATAGCGGAGGAGATTTAGAGTTAATGTGGTTTATACGACAATGATACATCAGCTGAAGGAGTTTAGTAACGTCAAAACAGTGACAGTTTTTGTGTTCATCGACAGAACACGGACCAAGACAGAAGCTGATTTGAAAGTCCAGCGTCAGTCAACCAATGACTTGCATTTCGGCACGAGACACATTGTTACGATTATGATTAACTAGCAATACGAATTATAAATGCAATCCGTGCCAGGGAACACACACTTAAACTCGCGATCTCTGCGTCTCTGTAATCTGAATGGTTCTAGCTGTTGACCGAACGTCTAACATCAAGCCTACTTCGTGTTCCGAAACCATCGGCTTCTAATGTCGGTCCTGTCTAAAGTTCCTCCAAGGAAGTGCCACGGTGTCACCAGACCACTGTATCTTACATCCTGAACCAATGTCTGCGTCGTATTATTCGCGAAAGAACTGGGACACGTTTCAATAAATTCCCGTTATTATCCTCTATTACTTTTACTACAAGAACATAACCTCAAATTTCTTCTCTCCGGCTTCATCTGTTAGCCACAAAGTAGTTCCTGAGAGAATGTCGTATTTTCAATCAGGACTTAGTATTTATTTATATGTAACTGTTCACTGTAATCAGTACGGCCCCAAAACAGCCCCCCACACCCTCAGCTCTAGGATTGGAGGGTGGGGAGAGGGTGTCCAAGACAAGGCAAAGTATTCATTCGCCGAAACGTTTAGTATCGTATTAATGAAGCATTAGCTTTCATTTGAGGCTTCTGGTTCCAATACTCATGTGTTCATGATATTGTATCAACTGTTGCAGTCAAGCAGAATGTATATTAATACATGTAAGAGGGTGAAGAATTCAGAATTCAAAGGGAAATATTTGTAGCATTCATAGGGCGTTTGTGCACAAAATGGCTGAGGAGAATATGCCTAATATTACGCCTTGACATTTGACTCTTGTTTTACAATATTTTAGAAAATGGTTAAGGACAAATGTCGTAATGATTCAAATCGAGAACTGCTGGACCAAAGCAAAGAATTATATAATTTCTCTTGTAGACACACAAATACGAGCAATGGAATGGCAATTCATTTTGCCCTTAAGATCAGTAATAAGAAATGAATCATAAAGATATTTGAAAAATTTAAAAGATTCAAAAACAAATAATAATCACGTAAAATATCGATATGAAACTTTTCTTTGAATACTTTCCAATTTATTTTTCTAAGTCAATGTAAATTTCCCCATACCACGTAATTAAAGCATCATACAAGACGACAGGGCTGACTAAGTAATGAACATTTCAGTGAAACTACAATTTACTATTTAACGTAACACCAACATTCTTTATAATAAATTTAACACCAGATCACTGGACGGTGGGCTGGCGAATTTCAGGACACAGTTCGTTAGTGACAACAGTGGGTAAGACAGGTTCCAAGGCAGTCCAGAAAAAAACACGAAGCTGAGGAGAAGACCGTCTCTTAAGCAACTTACTTATTTCAGTAGAGTGGAGTTACCGGAGGAAACTCTTCGCCTATTATAACGTAGCTTTCACTTGATATTTTATAGAGTTATCTTTTTTCTCTAAACACATGGACTGGTGGGTTCTTACCTGCGTGTAATGGCTTCTTCTTACTGATTGACACACTTTTAAATAGTGATAAAAACAAATTTTGAAATAAAGAATTTTGTAGAACTTGGTGCTAATTGAGTATAAAACAAAGAATGCACTTATGTAGTGAAAAAACCACTCTACAAGAAGAAGCCAATAGACACAGAAGACCACGTCTTCAGATGAAAAATCTGAAGACAGTGACGAAAAGAAACATGCTTTCACAGCAAGGAACAAAAACTCATAACACGCAGGTTAAGCGTAATATAATTGGTAGAAAGTTTCTGAGGCTTAAACTGCCGTTAATGATGATAAAAGTGAACTCTTTAACAATATTAAGTGAAAGTTACAAATTATTTTTACATTATAATGACGCACGGTTATTTTAAATTTAAAGAAGTAATTTTCCATGATTTATGGCCATTATAAACAAGTACAGAGTGATTAGAATACACATGAAATTTTTAATTCAAATATCTAATTTCAGTTTTAACTGAATCAGCTCTTCTGAGTTCTAATGTTTGTATATAAGACAGTTTCTTTCGCTATGAAAAAAAGTTCCCGTTCATATTTTCATGCACTCTTTTGCAAAGCCAGTAATTGATTGAATATTTTTTTTTCTTATTTAAACCTGAGCTGAAAACAGTTTCGTATTTCGACCACATTCCCTTCCTGTGTCACTACTAGACTCCGTGGTTGTTCCGTGCCGTTGTCATGGTATCGTCCTGAAGTCATTCAAACGATGTGTACACAGGCAAACGAAAGGAACTGGTGGTAAACCGAACGATACTCTTTTCTTTTTCTCAGATTCTCTTCCAGTTGATGGCGATCTTGGCAACGTGCTCGTCTTCATTCTATGGACAGCTTGATGGCTATCCCCACGAAGTTGAGACCATCGACCTCGGCAGAGCGCAAGAGACCACTCACACCATTCAGTTCCCGCTGCCGGTACGAACCGTCAGAGTCACTAAAACCGTCGCCGTCCCAATTCCAGTCCCATACCCAATTCGGCGAGACGTCCCCGTGCCAGTTCTATATCCGAAACCAGTCCCCGTGCCAGTGCCCGTCCAGTTGCAACAGCACCAAGCGGCCCCTGTGGGGCTCGTTCTGTACGACGCCGGGAGGTCACTGGCTGGTTATGACGGCTACCCCAGCGGTACCGGCAGAACAGGAGCCACGATCGGGCACCACGAGGGGTCTATCGGTGTCGTTGTTGGGGCCAGCTATGGGGTTTCGGGTCCGGTTGGCTCTGCAGGGAAGTACCCGGGAACTGTCGTACCCGAATCCGTCGGTGTCAACGAGTACACTCAAACCGGTGACCTCGGTCAAACAGCACATCGATACCAAAACAGCGGAAGTGACGCGAGCTCCAGTACCGCTGGATCAGCTGATAATTACAGTATTACGAAGTCTGTAGAGACGACTTACGACGGATCTGGTCCAGACAGTAGGACGAACAATATACAGGGCTACGGGGAAGACCCGAAGGGGAAGTAAGGTTAAGAGACTAGAAGATGCGGAGTGTTTGTAATTTTCCTTCTGCCTGACGCGAACTTTGCCAAAGTCTCCTTTGGTCAACAGACCGAAGTAACCCGTATGAGGCTGACCCAACACCAGATTCATTGACATGTCGTGTTTAACGGAGTAACACGGCAACAGCAAACGACCTCGAAGTCCCATTACTTCCCCGCTACTTGAACAGATTACTTACGACTTGAAACACTTTACATTACAATACAACGCGGTGACACACTAAGATGAGATCTGAGGTTCTCATGGCTGTGACGCTGGACGCAATCTGCCTGCATCAACACTAAACCGGTATGTTCCGTAACGACCAGAAATCAATGTAGGATTTGAGGTTTTCACGGCGGTGAGTCGGTAGATGGCTGTCTTCTGGGTTGTTGCGCCGTCTAGTCTGGTAAAAATTTACTCATCGCCCTGAAGATGGAGGCAGCAAGGATCTCTAAAACGTCGGTAAGCTTCTAGCAGACTACACTTCGCAACAACCCAGAAGAAATCCATCTTCATAGAAATCAACTTTGTGCTCACGAAATTGAAGAAAATGTTAAACAATCAACGAGGCCTGGTTTTTAATTACAGATTGTCCCGAATGATTGTCTCAAGGTCACAACATCTTGACTTCAAATGTTTTCTAACTTTGATCTTGTGCTCAGTTTACGAGAAAAGTCTCTTAATGAGTACGTATGTTCGTTTTATACTCATACATTTTCTCATACTTGGTATATTCGCGTTTCATTTCACTGCCTTGTCAATAAAACAAACATTTTTCACGACGAAATTGTAGAAACGAAAAGCATCTACCTTTTCGTATGGTAACAATTAAAATCACAAAATAACAACCCTCCAGGAAACAAGAATTAGTCGCCCCACAATTGAAATGCAAGCGATATATTATATATATTACATTTTGCAGTTGACGTCATCGAATATATGTTTCTTGTCGCAAGACAACTTCCATATAAACATTACTTCCTTCTGCCTTGTGGGCTTACTCAATTTATGCACGTAGGTATTTCTTTTGGTATTTAAAACAAACTACAAAATAATTCATGAAGTAATTTTTTTTATTTAAACCATTTTTAATTTGTTGCTATTGTTAAATTCTGTATTTGTATATAATGTTGTTGTATTTGTCCTACAATGTTTAATAAAAATGTATTTTTTTTTGATTAAAGCTCTTGTAATAGCCTTCTTCTTAATGTATCATCACTGAATGAGTTGTAACCAGGAATTATTATTAGAAAACATTTATTCGAAATTAAATTTAACAGAAAATGTTTCTTTTTGTTCTGTCCACTTCAAAATATTTGATCTTGTGGTGTTATTGCTAAGAACCGGAAAATTATAAACGTCTTTAATCTTCATATTTATCTCTCAGAGCGACGAATGTGGAATCTAACATTGAATATGCATGGTGGAGATGAAGAACGACTCAGATAAATCTTTACCTACTCGAATTTTGCTACAGGTTTCATTTAAGCACATTTTTATTAGACTCAGCAGCTTCTTTGGTACACCAAATTCAATAAGAATATTAAATGGCCCTTCTCTCTTATCAGAGTCGTAAGATTTTTTTGAAATGTATAAACAATTGACGTATCGTAATCCCATTTTTTCTCTAGTATCTGACGAATGCAAAAGATCTGATAAATCGTTGATCTGTTACATCTGAAACACTGAGTACTGTAAAATATCGCAATTGTTCTGAAATGGCATAATTAAACTACTGATCGACACTAATAAATGGTCCAGAAACACTACAACATAAATTTGTATTTATTTCTATGTTGGTTGTAACAATGAATACTCGAAACTCGTCCTATCCCAGTTTCCAGTCGAATTATTATTAGAGAACTCAAAAAGTCTGTACTCCTGTCAGGATTACGTCGTGCAAGCGAATAGCAGGCCTGCCACCAAAAGTAAAGAGATGAAAGTTTTCAACGCTTTAATTTTTACAGGAGGGGGCAAAAGCAGAGCCATTGGTGCATGACAAACAGTACTAGACGTCTTTCTCGTCTAGAGGAATTATTCAAAACACATTTCTTTATATTTCAATGCCATGCCCCTCCCCACTTACAGAGAAATGCAGAAGATGGATCGCCTCTCGAAGCTAAGAAATTCACAAAACTTCGAGGTGTACTACCATCGATAACCTCGACACCATTCTCGAAACCACATATAATATGAGAAATGGGGGGTACCGGGGAAATAAAATACCCCGGGGGGGGGGGACCAAAACCAGACACTGCTGCCTTGTAGTGATAGAAGGCTAGGGGAAGAATACCCTGAGGAAAAATCACCTGGTCCTCCAGGTTGGGGGTTGACGCGGTGGGCCAGCTCCTCACCCGTCGGAAAAAATCACAATGCTATAAAAGCCCAATAAAAATAGGCCTCGGAAGTGGAACCCAGGAAGACGAACATGGAAGATGAATATGGGTACATGGAACGCACAAGGATTAGGAAATAAAATCCAGGTGGTGGTGGACCACATCAAACAACTAGAGATGGATATAATAATATTGACGGAAACAAAAAAGAATAGAGGAAATGGGACCATATATACACATACGGACACGTGCAAAGGATGGAGGAGGAAAGGTTACCAAAGAAGACTACGAAATGGCAACCAAAAGAGAGAAGGAAGACCGAGACCAAGATGGAACGACAGAATTATAAGAATCATGATCGAAGGGAAACTACCTCTGGAAGGATGGAAGAAAATATTAGGCACCGGAAGATCGAAGTAACGGTCAAGAGACAGAGGAAGAAGAAGAAGATAATATGAGAAACCAAGTTCGTTCCTTCATTCCCTCACTCACTCTAATGCACGTAAAAAAATTAGCACAATTTTCGTTCGGTACGTTTTAAATTTTCGTGAGAGGCTGGGAGATAAATATTCCAAGTGAAATAGCAACAAGAATCCCCAGAGTGTAACGCAAATGTGGTTTCTAGTTGTTGTTGTTTTCAAATATCATAACTCTGCTACGTTTCCGAAGGCTTTATTAAGTGATCGCCCTTTTTAGTTCAAAATGATCCAGTAGCATCTCTAAGTTTCTAGAACAATGGCAGTATCAAACACAAATTTTAAACAAATTGTTAACATAACAGACAAATGTTTAAGTTGTTGCACTTTGTACGATCTGAAGCGTTCACAGCGACTAAGTACAATGAATTTTTTCGGGCTACGAGCATGAAGACCAAGACGAAGACGTTCTCGAAACGGAGTTTTCTCCATTCGACCACCAGACACGGCTGGTAGCCCACGAAGAGTTCATTTTGTGCTGCACTCTCTTGCAGAACTCCAAAAAATGAAATTAAAACAAGGATAACCACTTATTTGGGGGGAAAAAACAACAAACAGTTATTACAATTGAGTATTATGCATTTCATGTCATTAATACATCTGTATCTTCTTTTGCAGAATCACAGACTTGACGGAAATGTACCAGTTAAAAATAAACAACAATTATGAAGTCATGTATACCTTGCAAATAATAAAATTTTCATATCAAGTAACACACATAAAAATGTACATTTTATCAAATTTCTTAAGATCTAATCATGCAAAAAATATATATAAAACAATGCACCTTATTACGAGAAATAACTTTCAATTAGAGTATCACTTCTATATCATAGATAAGTAATCTTTAAATTCCTGCAGCCAGTATAATGCCCATTGTACGCAAACTCCGTAAACGTACGCGGCCAGTTAATGGCAACGCAAGCTTACCAACGTTTCAGAGGTCATTGTGGATGAGCCTGCAAGGACGTCTCAAATGTAGGTAAACTTCTACCAGGCTACGTGGCGCTACAGCCCAGAAGACGGCCAACTTCGTCAAAATGATTAATCACAACTGTAAGTGAAAACATTACAAAAGTCCACCAGGACTGATACTTATATCACGTCAGTAGGTCAGAGCCTGCCTTCAACGTCGGCGCTAACATGACATACCAAAAAACATTCTTGGCTATGTTTACGGGAAGAAAATACACAAAATACAATGTTCGGACTCTAATTGTCATGATGCACTGCTCATTTGTCATAAGAACTCCATGTTAACATTGATAAATGTTACATACGCATATTTCGTAACATATGTAATGTATAAGCAGGTCTGACGTAACCTGCGAAATTGAAACACCGTATCTTATATTTGAAAATACCAAGTTGTCGTTCTTGATCGAAAAAACTAAACAGCCTAATATGGAAAACGACTTTTGCAACATCACGCTACCCGTGGCAACGAAAGAGAAATCAGATCATCTTGGATGGCATACGTTAAAATAAACAAGTGCCAACGAGTGAACCGAGTTACGCTATCCTCGATTGATAAAACTAAGTTGGTTGACTTGAGCACAAATAGCGAATAGAACTCAAGATTTCTCAGAATTACATGTCCTCATGCAACGTCTCCACAGGGACTGGCAAAATTATCGTCACGACACGTTAAAACGGTTGTATAACATTATACAGCAGATCAAACATGGATACAGTTCTTCTTTTCCACAATAAACAAAAGCGTAACTATTAAGAACAAAATGCCAGTAAAAGACATGAACATTACGACAAAAATGAATTATATAGTTTCATGACCTTGACTAATAATCACAGAGTTGTTTATGGTATTAGCTTTATCCATTCCAAGTTGCGAAGTTCCTTCTCAACACAAATGTTGCTATAAGATACAGACTGAATGCAATGGTCTTCACGGATGACCAACCACGTCAGCGTGGAATTATGACGGAGGCAGAAACAGCTACTGAAAATGGCAATTCGTCACACACCGATACGGCCGATCACCCAGGAACACTTTACTGCAAAAATTCATTTACGACGCACAGACAAAGGAATTCCCGCAGGACAGTTCCAGTGACGCAAATGGAACAAATTTGCTAAAAATACAAATTGCCAAAACATGGATAGATCTAAATAAAATAAAATAAAAAAATAAATAGTTTCCGAGAAAAAAAATTTCAAGGGGCAAGAAAACTATACTTAACCATGGATAAAATATTATTGCACGGACATTCAAAACCAGATCATCAGACGAGTGCTGACTAACAAACCGATGCAGTATTATTCTTCACCAGCACTGAAATGTTTAATTCTCAAATGCCACAGTTGCAATGCAGCGTATTTTGATGACGGCAAAGCAATGTGCGACACTCAGAGGCTACCTGAACCAAACGGTCCAGAGATATCTATGCTGACATTCACGATGTCGTCGTTTATCGCACAAAAACTCTAAATCGCGGTTGACAACATTCAGACACTGTAGTTCTTTGAACACAATGCGGCTCATTCGTGACGTAAATGTTGCCCCCACCAACACACGTCTTACGCTATCGTTACCAATCCTCATGCTACTGTGCTTGAGTTACATGGAACCTTATTCCACGACATGGTAGGGTCAAGGGCGTTGTTAATAGCCCGCAAGAGAGGGTAGACAGCGGATCCACTCTTACCGAACGTACAAGAACCACGAAAGTCATCCATGTCAAGAGACCATATCATCACTCCCGCAAGCTTCTTCTTCAAAGCCAGTTTCACCTGCAAAGAAAAGCAGACTTCAGACGTTTAGAACGTAAACACACTGGTTTTGTTCCTGGAGAACATGGCAATGGCAAAATAATATTTAGGAAATGGGATATCTTACAGATAAACCAGGATTAAGACAATGAACTGCTGGAAAAAATTACCATTAAACTATTTTTGAGGTGGATTTTAAGGTTTCAAATGACTGGTCCTAGATTTTTAAACCATGTTCTTACATCTATTTGGTTACTGATTATTTCCACACCAAACTCGCCCATGCAGGTAATAACAAAAGAACTATGAAAACATTACAGGAACAAATTACCCGCTTTAATACGAGGCCCGTCCACAAAGTAAGTTTCCCTGGGGCCGTTTACAGAAACAAAACACAATTTCATGTAAATATTTATTGCAACAGATACAGCAAGTGTCCAGCTATTTTTCAACATATTCGCCACCGGAATTGAGACATTTGTCATACCGTGGGACCAACTTTTGAATACCTGTGTCGTAGAAGTCGGCCGCCTGGGATTGGAACCACTGTGTGACAACCATCTCTGCCTCTCTGTCATTCTCAAAACGCTGACGCTGACCGGACAGGAATTTCTTGAGGTGTAGGAAAAGATGGAAATGACTGGGAGCGAGGTCCGGGCTGTAGGGTCGATGATTAAACACCTCCCAGCTGAACTCCGGCAGGAGACTTGCTGTCCGTCGAGCCGTGTGCGGCCTAGCGTTATCACTGACCGCACTTCACAGTCGGCGGGAGCTGGAATAAGAACCTCCATCTTCAACAGCTGCAACGATGCTACTGTGAGAACGCGGGAGGTGCCGTTAGTGCATGCGCCATGCTACGTCATTGCTCTATCACGTACGCACAGTCACTTCGCGCAATATAAGGTTTGCTAGCTGTGGGACGAGTGGGAAACTTACTTTGTGGACGCGCCTCGTAGAACTAGCACTTCAACACTGTGTTTCCCACCTACAAACACGGTGCTGGAATCTAGAACATCATTTTCACTGCCATGAAAACCTCAAATCTCACAAGTCACTCTACTGTTCCACCAAAACCCAACGAAAGGACTTTTTCCATGTGAAGTAGAAAAGAAATTTCACAGTTCTTGTACTGTTAACAAGCTACTTCCCTAAATGTGTCGTACAATAATAAATGATGAATACGGGAGAAATAAGTCATCCCACACTTTACAGTTCTATCTCGGTATTTGCACAAAAGACCAAGGATTTTCTTTTTCTCACCGAGATTTGAACTGGGTATGATGACCACCTTTGAACTAATCCACGCTGCTCAGTATGAAGATAAGAATTTAAGAATATGGCATCAGATCTGCCTCGAAGTATTCAACCATCCACAAGTTGAAAGGAGACAGGACAGCATGCATTGCCCCGTAAGGAAGAACCACGACAAACACATCACGGCCCGATAGAACACTATCCTAGTATTAGTACAGAATACAGTGAGAGTCACTGAAGTTAAAACAATTTATGATACAGTACCTTCTCTGTAATACTTGCTACATTATCGTATGACATGAACTGATCATCTTTATAAGCATATGGGGTGTGGGTTACATTATCCCAGCGCTTCACCCAATTGGATAATGGGTTGTCCACTTCATAACAAATCTGCAAGAAAAGGGTCCAGCATTATCCATAATACAAACAGTGACAAATATACGAGGTGCGATCGGGATAGATAAATTCAGGAAATCGGTAAACTGTTACACTTACACAAACACAACACAAAACATGGTACCTAGATTCTGAAGTCTTCTAAAATATTTCCTTCCTTTTCCAACACTTTGTTCTCGCTGCCTGTATCAAAATAAAATATGTCCGCTGCAGTCATATGTTCACATCACCTTTCCTGAAGTCAAAGCTTTATTCACAAATGAGTGGGTAAGAATTTGGAAGGTGCCCATGAGCTACCTGAAGATACCATCTGATCATTTATCTGTGTGCAATTACACACGTCCTCAGTCACGATAGCTGGCATGTTCAGTGGCCGAAATTCAGATCAGTTACCACTATACCAGTATGTAATGATTTAGTATTGGTCAAATATCATTAAAATTAAATCCGTGGCGTAACAGCTCCATAGAGCTTGACTGCTGGCCTCACATTCACATGCCTAAGCAGAGGTGAACGATCATCCAACCAGATACAGGATGACGTGTGGTCAGCACGACGAACCCCCAGCCATTGCTAGATTTCATGACCGGATTACGCTACTCATTGTAGCTCCCCAATTTCCTCACGATGCTGGGTTGGCACCAGTCGAAAGCTCATGAGAAAATTTCTTCTCCCCCGAGACTCGAACCAGAGCGCATTCCGTATCGCCGGTCCGAAGCATGATGCCTCAGACGGTGCGGGACGGTCAAATATCATACACTCCCAAATAAGACATGTACGCCATCATTTTGAAATGCAAATTAAAAGAAAGTTTATTAGTATGTTAAACTGCTTTTCATGATGGCTGCTCCATATAGGCAACTCTCCCAATAACATTCATGCTTGCTCAAATACTGCAACTGACACCACAAAGTACACATTTTGATAAAAAAAACATGAGTGTTCTACCAGCTTCCCATGCTATTAAAACCTCTTGTAACTTTGAGTATAAAATTATTACTGATGCGTTACATTCCTTGGTCTACTAACTATTAACCTAAATATATTTGTTTCATCCAATGACGTATAGAACTTTATTTGTAATTTTCGTTCACAAAAGTTAAATAAATTCGTAATAAAATTTGAAGATGGCTGTCTTCTGGGTTGTTATTTTCATAATTCTTTGCCCAATGTTTACAATCGCTCTGTAGTTTACCTAGTAAACTCACCTCATTGTAACCCCACATACCATCTCCCTGAACATATGACCCTCTTTGCCCTTCAACTGCAGGTATACCAAACCCAACAGGTTCACCCGCATGGTTCATTTTGAAGATGCGGCCATACATAGGAAGCGCCAGGACCAGCTTATCTCGAGGAACTCCCTTGTCAAGCAATATACTAATACTGGACTCCTGAAACACAACATAACCTTTGTTTGATGATGATGATGATAATCATTATCAGCCAGTACAGTATGCTTACTGGCAAACAATTTGTGAGTTCCAGCAAACTTATCAAGTCACACATCTGTTGGTGGATTGTCTCTTTTGGTCTTGAGGCTAAAACAGAGCATGAAGCAAGCAGAATACATGACGGGCCACTGGAAGATGCTGCATACTCGGACCTGGGTAAGGGCCTGATGCAATGGCCCCTACAGTGCTGCCCATCAAAGATTTCCTAAGCGGTGTGGAGAGGGCTGTCCGCTCCCTGCCCGAGGAAGCGGCCAAGGAGGTCCGGCAAGAGACCGCTTGGAAACTGTGAGCCTCCAAGAAGCCGAAGGACGACCTGTCCGGAGCGGAGAGCCCTCCGGGCCCTGCAAAATAATGTGGACCTCAGTCCTCCCTGCTGACAAGGGCAACATGTCGGTCGTCCTCAACACTGCAGACTACAACAGGAAGATTCTGGCCCTGTACATATAGTGGGCTGCCCGAGGACCCTACGGAAGCCGTGGAATGGAAGACGACTCTCCTCCTCAAAAGGTCATCGCTTCCCGAGGAGGTCATCCAACAGCTGCGGCCCCAGGGTTCAAGGCCCCCTTAGACTGTATGGGCTTCCAAACATGCATAAGGCACTATCCACGTCACGTGAAGAGCTCCACGGAATTCATCGACACCATCAAGTACCTCCGTGTGGGCCATGGGGACATCATGGTCTGCTTCTATGTCGTGTTCCTCTTCACCATGGTGCCCAGCATGCAAGTGCAAGTCAGTAGTTGGTTTTGAGTTCAATGACCTGACAATGTGCTTTGTAATTTCACTCAGTTTGACACTTTTACCTATGACTGCAAAGTTAACCATTCAGAGCCATAAATAAACACAATCTTCTTCAGCTCCTAAAGAAAATAAGAAGAGTGAGAAACAGAAGTGATGTGTAGTGAAAATAGTGACACGTTGGCCTGACTGCTGGACTAAGAACAAAAACCTTGAGTTTAACAAAAAGACGACTTAAAATGGCTTCATTAAAAAAAGGGGAGGAGGAGAGTACAAACATAAAAACAATTTCTCACAAGGCCAATGAAAAAGCAGCAAGCACTGTTCAAGAAATCACTAAAAACTGTTTGTTCCAATGAGCTTGAAAAGAGAGAGAGTTACATAAGAAATATTTTAAAAAGCATACAACGTTGTGGAGAAGAATCAGGCCTTCAGCAAATCTGAATCCGAAACCGACCTCTGAAAACGTAATAATATTGATATGGGGAAAATACTCTCATTATGCAAAAATGTGAAGCATATACAGAAAAAAATTAAAATAACATTCATTAAGAAAAACACTGAACCAAAACATAAGATTTTTCATTATTAATCAAGGAGAACAAAATCAGTCCAATATCTTCTTTTATACATGTTACATAAAACAAACACCTTCATACACTGTTTATTTCACTAATACTCTTTATACGATACGTTCTGGTCATAAAAGCACCGTATTCAATGTTATTACACATGAAGATGGTTGTCTTTGGGTAGTTTGAGCCCTAAGCACTGACATACCGACTCAGACAGAGCCAAGCTTCATCAATGAAAATACAAGTTTTCAGTCAAGAACACTGTCATGTACTGACCACAAAAAACACTTACTGAAATGAATTCTTCTCTTGTAATTGTCTTTCCAAATTACTTGAACCTACGTTATTTTATGCACCTGTAGATATAGGTTTTTAGTCGTTCTCAACGCTTTTGTTTTCAAAACCTGTGCCTAACGAACTAATCGAGTCATGGATTTCTGAGGCAAATGTCATAATCTAGCTCCAATTTCATCACGCACTTCCTCAGCATAACATTTAGTCTAGTGTATCTCTTATTTAGGAAAGACTAAATTGTATGCACATTTTTCACCAATTTTAAAATCATCAATGAAGCTGGAATTCAAACAAATCAATACAGCAAAACTTTCTCTTTCACAATTTATGTATAGGATTTATTTCTCACATAACCACACGTACATTCAATGTCAATCATTCAACATAAATTATTCTTCAAAATCAGAATTAAAAACAAAAATTTCAATCTTGCCTATGCCAATATTAAGTGAGCGTTTTGCCATGGCTAAAGCAGCCAAACTACTGTTTCTGAACCTCAAGTCCTTAGGTCCAAAATATTAATTTAGTGTAATCAGTTCACAGCTTGCACCTAAATTTGGTCATTTGTATACAAAAAAAAAAAGAGATCATCTTTAGCAGCTAAAATATTATAAATTCATGCATGTTCATTAAGAGTCCCTGCAGCTGGATATTTAGCCTTTCATCCTGATTAAAAGTTTACAATTAATGGAAATAATCTTAGCCACCGATACAGAAAGAGTAAAAAAGACGCACAGAACAGCGACGCGCGTGCCATGATTTGCTGCAGGTTTCCACAAAATTAAAAATAACTTTGGCACATAAAAAAATGTGGCTCACAGACAATTATCCTACTGTAAATAGTGAATACTCACCACATTACGTTCATCATCTGGATGAAGCGGGTACAAAGGTGCATTAGGTCCAGTCTGTCCTTCGTCGTGATGATGGTATGAGTAGCACATGGCAAACATGTAATCCAGATACCGGCTAATGGCTGGTATATCGAATGATTGCTCTATCGTGTCTGGGATCACCCCTAGTGGTGCTGTCAGCAACCAGCCAAACTTGTCAAACTCCTCCCTCAACTCCTGCAACCAGCATCAGCAATAAGTACAGTGATATCTGCCTTATGGAAAGTTATCATCACGTAGGTTAAAATCTATCGGACTAAGTAAGATTTGAGGTTTTCACAGCGGTGAGTATGAAGATTTCTGTCTTCTGGGTTGTTGCGCTGTGTAGTCTGGTCGATGTTAACCAACGTTTCAGAGGTCATACTGCTTCCATCATCAGGGCGATTAGACTAAGCGGTGCAAGACTCCAGAAGAGAGGCATCAATTTTCTTGCGTTACATAATAATGCAGTCCAACGACAAGAAATTATAGAAGGCCGGAGAAAGCTGTAATTCGTAATGGACAGCTTCATAATTTGTACTCTTCAACTGATATTATCAGAATCATCGAACCATAAAGAATGGCATGCGCAGAACACGTAGCATGAACAGAGAGATTATGAAAGCATAAAAAATTTTAATTGATAACCCGAGAGATAAAAGAGAAGATACAACTTGGGCAATCTTGAAATAAATGAAAGTATAAAATTAACATGCACATAAAATAAACAGGGTGTGAGGACAGCGGCCAAATTCACCAACCTCAGGACACACTCCAATGGTGGATTCTTATGTACATGGTAACAAACCTTTTTATTCCATACAAAGTAAAGAATTTCTCAACCATTAGAATACATAGCAGGTGTGCCACACGCTCATTGTGATTAAAATTCTTATGCAGTTTGTTTCATTCTTTGTATTGCTAACTAAGCCAAAATTCATCTGCACGTGAAACAATATAAAAATGTTATCATGAGTGTAGATGGACAATTTACAAGAAACAAAAATGGTAAAAAATATAAATAAAATTTGATTATAAAACAAATGTTACATCATGCTGGATGAGATGATGGTGAATGGTAAAGTGGAATGGGGTGAGGGCAAGAGCCACGGTCCGGTTAAAGAAAATTTTAGCTTTCACTGGAACAAACAGAAGGAAGCTATTAAAATGTTAAGCATTCAAGTCACACCAACGATAAAAAGAAAGATGAATTACTGCACAGCTATAAGTATGCAGTCCCTTCTTATGGGAATAGAATACATAAAATATTGTGATTGAGAGTTACATAAAAGACAAAGAGTGTGTAAAATTTATAAAAATCCATAGTTCACAGAAACCGTGAACTCTTTTCATGAAATTTCAATAAACCGAATAAGGCAGGAACGGAGATTTCCTTTACAAGAGAGGCAACAGAGCATGAGGTTTGGATACAACATCCTTTCAAAAGAAAAAATGCAAAGTTACTCTTCCTTAAACCAAGCATAGAAGTAAAGTTAAAAGTTTCTTAATCTTGACATTAGAGAGAGGTCAGTTATCATATTAATTTTCAGAAAAACTTATCTTGAGGGAAAGAACCAACGCACCACTTGAATGTACAGGAGACTGGATGAGGTCATCTGAGAAGGTCTTCTTAAAGAGATGAAAATATTGCACAGAGCAGGCAAAGAAGCCTGTTAATGGGAAAAATGATAGTTGATAAAATTGGTCTGCAAAACTGTTTCACCAATGTCAGAATACCTTCAAAAGATGTACAAAGTTCATCTTGTCTGCAGGGACACCATGTTGTTCAGCTGGATACTGCCAGTGGAAATCAAGTCCGTCAAAATTATACTTTCTGCAAGAAAAAGTGCCTTTTCAACACACGGAAATAAAGAAAGACACATTCGCCACCAGAAAAACTGTGGAGTGAAGGAAAACACAAGCAGTCGATAAATGTTCCGTCCCTCTTCCAATACATCACCCAATTTCTGGAACACTCACATACTTTCACAAATCAAAATTTACTTAAATTCTGACATAAACTCTACAGAAGTATTTAATTTTCAAACACTTCGTGACGGTTGCTTGGCTCACAAAGTCCCAACATATTACAGTCTTGAGAACCTTGAAAGTACATGAGTTATATGGAAACAACTCTGCTCTATAAACACAAACTTACAAGTCATCTTATATAACACAGGGCAAGTCTAAATGATGTTCCCGATTTGAAAGACATGCAATTTAATGAAATTCAGATGCACAAAATTGGTACCGATGGAAAGAGAAACTCTCCAAGTTTTGTTTCAGTACATCACAGGTGTTCAATGTGAACCACCTTGGTAACTCGGCACACATCCAGCCTGTAGTCGAGTTCCTCCCAGACACGTTGCAGCATATCATGATCGACTACTGCAATGGCTGCTGTGATACGCGCTCGCAGATCAAGCAACGTCTGTGGTAAGGGTGGCATGAATACTCTATGTTTGACGAACCCCCACAGAAAAAATCACAGGGCGTCAGGTCTGGTGAACGTGAAAGTCCAGGACACAAAAGGCTCCCCTGGCTTCGATGGCAGCCATTTTATCTCATATCGCCCCTGGCGGCAAACAGTGTTACTACGTGGCCGCGAAGTATACCAACATAAATTCGGAGAGTTTCTTTTTCCATCGGTACCAATTTTGTGCATCAGAATTTCATTAAACGTGAGTAACGTGTTTCAAATCGGGAACATCATTTGGACTTGCCCTGTATATTGGATGTTCTGTATCTGGTTATACAGACATAACTACAGCACAAATCATCAGATAATCAAGTCCACTTCAGTTTTAATGTCTGTTAATTTAGAAGAAGCATCATGTACAGTTAGACAACAGCAAGAAAGGGTAAATAGAATGAACTTCACATTGCACAAATACTGTGATTTGTACGTATCTGAGCCTCGTTGCTTGTGGTAACTGGACCTATTTTGCAGCCAGGGCTTATGCAGAAAGGTACCCAGCACGCTGACAACCAGACAGTAACACGCTTACATATTAGTGGGTCTACGGAAATGAGCTAAATTTTAAAGCTCGGTGGTTCAGGGTGAGCTAGGCAGGGACCGGTCAGGTCTGTGATGATGACCCCCTTGCAAGGACAAACTTCCTTGTGGTGACCAGAAGTTGGGTGATACCGATAAACGTCCTTTACTAGTGATTTCTGCAGTAACCAACCCATACTATGCACAATTTTTTTTTGTTTACACATGTTTCAGAATTTCAACAAGAGCGTAAGTGAATGAGAAAAGGGAAATCATTGTTTCCAAAGCCTTGTCAATCAAACTAACTTACTCCACAAGTCAAGAAATATATGGCTTTTAGGGAATACAGAGAATCATCATAATGTTCAAAAAAACCTAAGGCAGTTCAATACAGTCCCCATTTTCACACATGCCATTTCTCAAAGATGTATCTAGAAAACTGTAAATGCCTTAACGTGAACTGAGCTGTTCTTCAGATTCAATTAGTTTCAACTGTATTATTTATCAAAAGAAGTACTGCATGTTCAAAGTGCCTACAGATTTGTTCAGGTTTAACAAACTCACAGCCAATGATGGCACTTGCTTAAGAAGCAAGCTTACCATCTGATCATTTTTGCTGCCAAGACTTATTTCAACCACAAAATAATTTGTATTTTCTCTAACAGATAACATCAAATTGCCATAAAATTCTCATAAATATGTACGAAATTTGACTAAATAACCTGCTTCTTTAGCTTAACGTGCTTCTCACTATGTAACACACAGGATTAAACAAGCATTATACTCTCCGTAATTTGTTTATATCCACACTACTTCAACTTTTGAAGCCCTGATTTTAAAAAGCCTCTTTAAGAATGACTGAACCAATGCAATAATTTAAAGTTTCAAGCAGTCTAGAGCAGTGGTCCCAAACGCGGTGCCCGCGGGTGCCATGGCCTTTTTTGGGTGCCCGCTTATACTGAATAATGAAGGCCGTTCAACCACGAACTTTATAAAATCAAAGCACATATCTCGACTTACTGACGCCCATCTTGACGATTGTTTGCGAGCAGCAACATCATCCTACACTCCGAAATTTGAAAAACTGGCCAATGAAATGCAGTGCCAAACATCACACTAACTTCCCACTTGTGAACAGTTGCAGGATAAAAAATGCCTCAAAATGAATGAGTTAAGTTCACATGTGACTGACTCTGAAACAAATCACACAGCTCACCTGAGGAAGTCTGAGACACTTCTGACGAAAGCCTTTCTCCTGGTGGGAGATTCTGCCACTACAGAATAATTCTTTTCTATTCTTTCTTTCCAGCCGCCCATACCAAGCAGTACTTTAAGATGTGGGTATTTTTCTTTCAGGGAAGTCACCTTCTTGTAGGCCCCTGCATTCAAACAACTATACATTTCCACAACCTGTCCTAGAGATAACTCTGTTCTGTGAAGTCTGGTGGCCACCAAAAACTCAAAGTATGAACCACATCATCGCCATACGGGTTTCATAAATGCAGTTCAACTTAACAACCCCTCTAGTAACATAACCTTAGAGGTCAATGATGCTAATACCAATGCGCCAACGAACACAATCGTGAACTAGTTTAATCCACTTCATATTTTCCTAAAGTACATAATTAAAATCCATGTTAACACTATTCTCACATCTTCTCAGTCTCCCAAAGAGCTGCTTTACAAGAGAATTGTCCACCTAAATTTTGTATGAAATTCTTGCTAAATCCTATCCCAGCCACTACAATAAGAATACTAGTTTAACTATATAAATCGTGTAGAACTTTGGGTTTCAGGTGGGAGCTACATCAAATATTTGGTGTTAACTAACATTTCAGCAAACATTGCAGTTGCCATTTTCAAGGTGGGCATGAGGTTCAGAAAGCCTTATATATATAGGGCAGGTAGTGGTTGTGAGGTAAATTCAATGATGTTGATTGGTGGAGCGGAGGAGCTGGTCGCTAACCAATGGGAGAGGAGCGTGTGGTTGAGGAAAGGAGGTGACAAGAACACGATTCTATTACAAAGACACCAACCTGTCCCATTATTGTCCTCCAGGTCATATTCAGGTATCATACTTTCAATGGAGTTCTCGTTAACATTGAGGGCCGCAAAAGCATACACAACATGGCTGCAGAGCGTTGGAACGATGTCATCAATTGTGAACTTGCCGAGGCCCTGTCTGTAGTACGCCCACTCAGCCATATAGCACATTGTGACGTGCTGGTTTTCAAGGGGCTTCATGCCTGTGAAACAACAGAGACCAACATGACGCAGTGATGCCTTCTGAGTGGCTATGTCATTTTGACACACCAAGTATCAATATGGACTTAAGTCAATTCGGAAGAGAGGATTCAATACTGCCAGCATCACAGGGGAGTTCCACGAGAACTTGGACATGTATCACAAAAATTAAAAGTTGAGTTACCACCAACCAAAGCACGTACAAGGATAGCCAAAATGTTCCATCTTTGTTTCTGAGCGTCACCGCCGTAACAGAAAAATTTTAACATGATAAAAGTAAAGCTGTCCCACTATACGCCAAGCAGGTGATTGGGGGGAGAGGAGGTACAGCTCCTACTCATTCTTAACCTCGGCACTAGATGGGGACGAGTGGTCAGCGTCATGCCCTGGCCACGCTTTACTCCTAGGAAAGGACCCTGGTATGCATTAGATAGGAGGCTGGGCGGGCCCTGGAGCCAGTCTGGATGCAGAGGTTAGAGGAAAAATCCTCTGCCCGTCTGGGATCAAACCCCGGTCATTCAGTCTGTAGTCACTCACTACATTGACTGATCATAAACAAAATGGCAAAAAAAACTTTGGCTCCAACTGTGATAAAGTAACTCATTATTAAATAACTGTGTGCTGGCAACACCAGTGTATAAAAAAGGAGGGAAAACTCAATACCCAATGTAAATCAGGGCACTAGACCATCTGCAGTCATCTGAAATATCAAGAATGAAAGATAAGTTAATGTTGATTTTTCAAAAAAGAAACAAAGCAACAACTAAAAAAACAAATAAAAAATTGAGAGACAGTAAAACCTACAGAGAAATGTGAAAAGAAAGCACTAACCCTTCGTGGTAAATTAAAATTAACCTGAGAATCTCAAACAGTGAAGTGTCCATACTTTTCACATTAAGCGTGATGTAAGCCCAATCTTCATCATCCTTGGTGCGAGCTTGTAGACGGTACAAGCCTCTGTCTTTCAGCAAAATGTTGTTTATCTTCAGCTTTGTCGTTTTCCCATCTGGGGATGTGTACACTTTGTAACTCGATGGACCATCGCGCTCCTCTAATACTTCACAGTCAGGTCCATACCACACCAACTTTGGTTTGGATGGTGCTTTCACATTCACAAACCACTGAACAGATTTGTAACCTTCGTATACGTCTACGTAATCATGTTCAAGAAGGAACTGAATTTTACCTGTAACACACAGGACAGCCAATCTTTAAATTTGTTCTATGAATCTGTTAAGGACAAGCAGTACCGCCCATCAAACATGATTTGTGTCTTACTAGTCTTAATAGGAGTGACGGTTTCGTATTCTGCCCCAGGTAATGTGACAGCAAGAGAAACAATAATGGCTACGAGCAACACAACCGCCACTGCACTCCACACATAGCGGTTCCTGAGCCATGCCTGATTTTCAGAATCCAGCTGTTCATTAGTGCAGTCTCTCAACACCACATCTGAAACATCACACAAAACATTTACATAATAACAAATTTCTACCCCAAAGCCCTTCTAAACCGTGAAAAGCACAATGAATCCTGCCAAAATTTTTCCATGGAAACCTGTCTTAAACAGAACATTTCTTGACACACACAGACATGAAGTGTAAAATTATCAAAGAGCTAGAAACCGTCTACTGTAGGAACAGAAGGAAGAATAACTGTACAGGGCTATTCAAAAAGATTGTCGGGGTTTTAAAAAATCACTACATGTAGTACAATTGAGGTAGGAATACCAATCTTGTTTTATTGTGTAGCAAAACTCTCAAAGTTTTTTTACATGCATTATAAATGCTCAATATGTGCGCCTTCTGTCAATCTGCAGACATCTACACGATAGTCCATTTCTTCCCATGCCCCAGCGTGTCAGTGGTGATCTTCAGAATGGCGGCTCTGATACGTACCTTCAGATCCGGGATAGTCGCAGGTAGAGGAAGGACAAATACTTGATCCTTCCCAATTTTCGTGTGGAAGTGCCGTTGGACAATGGTAACGGACCGACTTTGATGATATTCGAGAGTACAAAAAGCCTTCTTCTTACCATTAGACGCCATATTGCAAAATCTGGCACCTGGCGGCCAATCGCGTAACTACTGGATGGCGGGCGGTACAGAACAAAACTTTGAGAGTTTCTCTATCCACCAGTGTAATGATAATAGTCGTATGTTTAATGCACTGCCCCACAAAAATTTACAAAACCCTGACAATCCTTTTGAATAGCCCTGTACAAAACAGAATTTGATAATTTAAGTGACCTAAAATTTATACTTGTTACACACAAAGTTCCAGGAATATACTCAATGAAACTGAAAACTGAAACTTATTTCAGTTTTGAACAATACTTCTGAAAGCTACATGCATTGACAATACAGCATGTAATTTCTTCAAAATGGTTAAACACATCTTCTGGAAACCCCTTGATTGTTATCAAAGATAAAGACAATGGTAAGCAGTTGTCTGCTGTTGGCCTTTGGTAAAGCATCTTGTTTCGCTACTCCCTAGTCACAGCAATGGGTCCCAAACTGAAATACCCTACATGTCATAAAAACAACATCAAAATGTTCATAAGAATTCAATTTTAAAAGATTTTGAAGAGAAAATCTGAAATAAAAAATTTGGAGATGAGTGTCAAGTAATTAATGAGAAGAAAAAATTTGAATGACTGGAAATGAAGACATTAATTGACACTGTGTGGAAATGGTATGTACACATCAGACTGAGGTAGATGGCTATTTCAGCATCACTATTTCAAGCACAATCCACGCCTAGACAAGGGGTATTGTAAACTGACCGAAAATGCTTAGCAAAAGCATCAGCAACTTTATAGGATTCTGCCACATGAGTACCGTCAACCTTGAGCTGAATAAAACTGGAATTTATTTTTGTATAAGATGCCACATATTTCCAAAAATTGCTTGGGTTGCGACCTTAAATTGTCATTAACAGACTTCAACCATCCAAGCCTGTCAGACATAATAGTAGCTTTCACAAGCTTACAACAGAAGGAAAATATCTGCAATAGTAATCTTTTTTCCCCAAATATAACACCATAAAGCAATCAAAAACCATTAAAAATATATTAAAATTGGCCGTCAATCACAATATAAGATAATTAAAAGTTCCTTATCGAGTACTCGATTTACATGTGGAACATGTATGACATGTTTCGGCTATATATAGCCGTCATCAGATGTTATATTATAAACTTTTAACTGAATTACTGATTTTTACTAATATTTAATGATTTTCAGTTCTCATTTTTCTTATCGTGTTCTCGTCCTTCATATTTTATCTTCATCGGTTGTTGTGCCGCCTGTCACTAATATATAGCCGAAACATGTCGTAAATGTTCCACATGTAAATCGAGTACTCGATAAGGAACTTTTAATTATCTTATATTGTGATTGACGGCCAATTTTAATATATTTTTAATACTTATAAATCACAATTTGACGCATCTACAATATCTTACTCAAAAACCAATCAGAGAATTCTGACTTTCTGGCAAACCCAGGGGGAATTGCCTGATCCACAGCATTTAGGACACCACAATCTTAATATTTAACTTGTTCACAGGCACCTCCATGTCACAAACTGACTACGTAAGCTAAATTTTTTTTTGTTAATTCAAAGCGACAAATTTTAGTTTCAGTTTCATTGATTGAACTGTGACAGTTTAACAGAATTAACTCCATGTCTAGCAACTTATTTCTTCCAGTAATAGCTTGCAGCTTGTCACAAAGTGTTTCCAAACAGGTGTTTGCCTTTACTTCCCCAACTGGGGCCTATTCATGATTACCCCTCTACCCCTTGGTTCTCTGCAAAACAGCTTCAGAATGCACCAAAAACAGAATTCAAACTCGGCCACTTTTCTAGATAGCCGACAGCTAAAATTCTGGATGGAAGTATTACTTGACATGATCTATAAATAAGCTCTAGAGAATTAAAACTGGCAACACAGCATGATGTAATCCAGTGCTGGAGACTTTATTTCCAAATACTAACTGCACTGTATATAGCCGCCACTTTCAGTCGGCTTTAAATTAAATGCAAAAGCAACCAATTTCTGATATACGACTGCTTACACCCCAAGTATTACCATTCAGTTAGATCATATGAAGAAAAGAAAAAAAATCAGTCAAAAACGATGAATGATTTGGAATATTTATACCAATAATACAAGAATATTTTGCCACCATGCTAGCATCAAAACTATAGTATTTGAAAAGCAGTCATAAGGTTCAAAATGTCAATGTTTCGTCAATCCACAGCTGTAGGCCTGACAGGTAACATACTAGCTTATACACAAAATGTGACTCCAGTCTGAGTGCACCAAAATCAAGGCCTTCTTTCCACGTAGTTAAAAAATTATACGCTTGAGCATATTTATGAAGTCTGTATGGTTTGAAACTATCACTGCAACACGATTAAAGCCTTACACTGGAAAATCAGCACATGGGCAATGAGCGGGTTAACCATCTATGCCCATGTTTTCCAACTGTTCCTTTGCAGTCTTCCAACCAACACCTGTACTAAAAAAAATAATCATGCATGGTTCTGAGAGTGGACCTGAAGGTACTTCAGAAAGGTAAATCCATTCCTTTTCTCAGGTACTGTAGCAGGAACATGTACACACGATATGGAGGTAAAACTGTATACATTCGAAACCTCAGCATCAGACCAAGACGAGCGTTCAGCTTTACACTCAGGCCATTTGCCATATTGGATGTGGGAGTTGAAAAGTAAAATCAAAATATTTGCATAACAGGAACTGAACTGAGATTCACTGACTGAGGCATAACAACTCAAAATGCCTTTCATAATCCTGAACCTATCCAAGAATGCGGAAGCCCCGGATGTACATACTCTTTCCGATCACATCCAGCGGCTGCAGACCAGAGGTTGCAATATCATGATAAACATCATCAGATGAGGACTTAATTTCTTCTTTCCCATTCACTGTTATGTACTGTTTGACAGTCACCGGACCATTGTACTGGAGGTGAGGACCAATACGGATGTCAGAGGAGTTCTCCACAACAACAGTTGGCATCTGTGTTGCCAACTCAGACAGCGATTGCCCTGGAATGCTGACCAGTTCATTGTCTGAGTTGGAATCCTCGTTTCCATAATAGGGGTTCAGCATGGCATCACATACATCTGCGAAATATAAGAAATCAATCCTACAAGGGTTATGGCTGCTCAAGCTTCTCTAGTGCCATAATCAGAGTACTTTTGTATTACTGTATTTTTAATGTGCATACCTTATCTTTGTCTTATCTCATAACTGAATGAGAAAGTTTGCAGATATCCTTTTCCCTACGACTATCATTATATCACTACATACACTATTTATGTCAGCCATGTTTACCATTAGTAAATGACAAACATGTTTTTAAAATATAAAATTTACCCATCAAATAAGACAGAGAAGTGTTACTGTGTCATTAAAAGTCTCTGTTAACACTCGCACAGATATCAGATAATGATATATCAATAGTCTGGTCAGTCTAAAATTAATATTTAAGCAATGAGGAATCTTGGGAGTAAGATGCTTCTACAGTAGTGCATAACACTGGTCACAGGGAACACATGCACTTCTACAGAAGAGTACAGCACTTACAAGATTAACTACAATGGGTTTATAGTTGTATGAATTTTCAAAGGATGATCTCTTAATTCAATCCACAATCATTCAAGAACTATGCAAGTCCAGTAGCAGTCTTTTCCTATTCAAATGCAGCATTTTTATGCTGAAACTGAGAAAAAAGACTAAATATATGGTGTAGGACAGCTAGTCTCCACACCAAGACTGGAGCTCAAGCAAGTGTACTAACCGACCACAATGAAGATGAGACATTCTTTTTCTCTAGATCAGTGGTTCCAAAGCTTTGCTCCTGCAGAACAATGGTGTTCTGCAAGCTGGACTGAAATGTTCTGCCACTGAAAATGAAGTAACAACAATCTTTTCACAATCTGCAGAAAAACTAAACTAAATGCATACAGTTTTCTAGATCTTGTACTTTTCTCACAATACTTTCTAAAACAAGACTGTGCAAAGGTGTAATCTATACCAGAATACACAAAATACATTCTTTGATAATTCTTAATTATTAATAAAACATTATGACAGTTACATTAGTTAAATAACTTTACTTTCCAACTATACAAATCATGTGTGGTGTTAATAACTTCTTTAAATAATATAAATTAATATCAATATATGTAAGACTTGAGGTTCTCACAGCGGTGAGTATGACAATATGTCATAAGGCACATTATCCTTGTAGCAGTGTTCTGGTCTCCCTCATATTGGGTCGCTTGACTGAATCCTCATCAAGCACAAGTATTTATTTACATTCACACAGCCATCATTTTGTTGTTTTACACAAAACAAAGTTCTGAACTTTCTAAAAATCTATAACCATACATCATTGTATGGCCCTACTGCAAATGGTGCTATGTTGATCTGCCTTACAAGTTTGTTTCCTCACCACGCTGTTATTATAAATTGTAGGAAATCGTGAGGTATATAATATTTGGGTAATCCACAATGTTATAATATCCATATCAAATTCCCTTCAAATCTGTCCTGCAGTTCTGGAGCTTAATCACGTGCACAGACAAATATGTAGAAAGCACATAAAACAATCCATCTGACGAGGTCCGAGCTAGTCCAACTGTAGCATTTATGTCACTACTGCCAACAAGCAAATATTTCTGTATACAGCTCTTCATTTTATTTCATTGTAGTTCAATAATTTCCTTAACAGAAAGCTCAACAAATAAAATACTATGTCACTTATTAAATACATAATCTATGCTGAACAAGACCTTCTTTCAATGAATCAGTGAATGAAAACGAGCTTGCCGAAGAGAAAGTTTGCATTGTCCTGACATTATTTGTGTTGAATGCAAGAAAATTTTGTAAAAAAGCTCACTTATGCCAGTTAAAATAAAGATATGTCTTGAGAGTCGACATATATAGACCTCAATGGCAAAAATGTGACATTATTTGCTGCTAAGCTTGATGACTTGAAAAAATCCAAGGGCTCACACAAATGAGATATATTGTGAATAAATTATCTGTAGCACTCAAAATCAATAAAGTATTTTACAACCGAAATAAAATAATCAAAATACTCCGCTTATTATCATTTGTGGTGGAAAACTTGGGCAAATTTAAACATAAATATAAATTTACATAGTGCTAACCTAGCATGTTCACTATTGCTTACATGTACTTAAAATTTATGGTTGAGGTATATCCTTCTATGGAGTAGAATTCCTTTTGCATGCTAATATTTGTAAAGTCAATTACGGCTATAAACGTTCTCACCGACATCCTTAACCTTAAACCCTAAACCTGAAAGTTATGTGCAATTTTACAAAAATACTCATTTTTTGCAAGATAGAATCTCGGCACACAATACGCTGCTTGGAAAACCAAATTGACAGCATGGGAAAGCTTGCCATTTCGAAATTCTGTAATTTATCAACTGTATGAAGCAGAGCCCTTGTTACACTGAAAGCCACATGGCAGGTCAAGAAACTTCCTGAAACTTATGGACCTCGAAAGCTCAGTTTCGTTACCAGGATAAACCACCTATCCGTAACAGCTTAAATCACCTGCTCACCTACCAACCCTTTTAAGACCCTTTTCTCGAAATTTCATCCAACTTCTAAAATGACCATGAAATTTCTAAAATCTGAAATTACGTCAGTTTCTACTGTATTCAGTTAAGTTTGTCACTTCTTACCTTCATGTCGCGCATTTGAAATATTTTCTTTTTCCTGGTTCTTGACCTAAACAAAAGTCTTCAATCGCCTCGGTCGTGCACTATAACGGAAGTCACAACAAGCAGGAACATGGCGACGAGGAAAACCACAATCATATTAATAATTATACAGCGAATTAGCTTGTCAGATCGCAGATCTCGTCAATGGATGCGCACGCCACCTCAGATTTCTCGTTTCCTTCCGCCTGGTTTGCCCAGGCAAACAGGATCATTTGTGCAGATGATGCGGATGGCTGAACCGGTGACCTACAGTTCCAAGGTTTCGAAGTAGTAATATTATTAGCGGTAATTTCGACCGACAAACTGTGAACATGGAGTTGAGATCCCCAAATGACCCTCACCTTCGAATTTATTACATAAAATTTCATCTTTGACCCTTTTTACATAAAATATTAATGCACAAGAAAAGAACAGTTTATTTGCAAGGCATTGTACCGGCAGTAAAATATTTAATACATTTTCCCTTCTCTCTCCAAGACGGAATGGGCCAACTTGAAGATGAACTTCTGATAAGAAAGTGGTTTGTGTTGTGTTGGCTGCCAATATTGTCTCCATGTGTATTATCAAGTATAAGTGAAATAATATATTTGTCAGTTGATAGATCAACTACTTCCAGGATTGGGCCTATTAACCCATTCTGGGACATTGCTCAAGGCAGCTTGTCCTTGTTTAATCTTTGTATATTGCATTTTTTCAGTAGTGAGTGACAAGCCCACTGCCTCAGCACAATTTCTGCACAATCCTGATTTGTCTGCTGAAGCCATCTAGAAAACAATACTGTATATTAGGTATAATAAAACTGTATTGATATGCTTAACTGAACATGTATGTTAGCACATTATATAATGAAGAACTGCCCTTCACACACTGTATGATTTATAGTTGTGGGTAAGTAAAGCTGGTAATATCTAATTTCATCTTCAAACAACAAACACATTTTATCTTACCTTTACATGCAATAAAACATCTCAGTTTACAGGTCGAGTGAGACCTATACAATTCCATGTTTATGTCTAAGACCTGAAACTTTAATCACCTAAGAAAACTTATGCCTTCCAATCCACATATACAGCTAGTTTTATACACTCCACTTACTGGGTCCATCTAGGTGTAGTTTTTATTCCGATGTTTTAATATTTTCTCTGTGCAATTCAATTCAATCTTAGTAATTTATATTTATTGATGAAGATTAGTATACATTCCATGGATCCACAAGTGAGTCAGAATAACAAAAGGCTGTAATGTAATATATTATAAGATTTCACATAAAATAAATGTTTCATGCAAAGTGCACAGATGTTACACTAAATCCATACGTATACAACAGAGAAATTGTTTTGCAAACAAGAAACATTTACAAATATTCTGAGTCATTTTTAAACATTAGGATTTTGTCATCAGGGTAAAAGAAGTGTGGGTTTAAGTACCTTTTGAATGCTTCTCTAAATTTTAACACTGATGCCCAGAACAGTCTATGAGCTATAGAAAAGAAGAAGCACACCAAAGGACTGCTACTTCAATAACCCACTCAAAAAACTTCGCTTCATATTAATAATCATGATATATTGTTCACAAGAATCACACTGTTTCAATATATATAGCATGTATTATTATTTAGTGTTCTGTCTGACGACAGGTCCATATGAACAGGATCCTTCCATCCTTTTCATATATGTTCCTGGCAGATGATCCAGAAGTGGTTTGCCATTGCCTTCTTCTGTGTGTGAATGGAGTAATTGTTGGGATGCCACGGAGAAACCGGGGAAGCCCCCGGAGGAAAACTCCGTGTTGCCTAGACCACGGCCTTGCCCAACACAATTTATAAATTCGGGCACCGCCGGGAATCGAACCCGACACCCCAGGATTACAAGGCCAGCGTTCTAACCGCTAGACCACCGTGGCTCTATATGTGGCTAATGATATCAAAGTTATCTGGAGGAAATACCCCTTGCAGGTCATGGAGAATTCACATACATGGTTGCATGGCTAGCTATGATTCTGTAGATAATGACAGAAAGGAAGGTAGCCGGAGGATTCCCCACCATTCACTTCCATGTGCAGAAATCATGAGGAACACATATAGAAATCTTGAAACCTTGCATACCGTGCAATATTTTCTAAATATATAGAATCATGCATACAAAACAAAACTGTTTACACTTTGAAAAGACACTTACTGCCAAATGCCCTTCAGCCTCAAGAGGTCATCATCAGTGGCAAACAAATTAATTCATATTAAATCATATAATCCATAAGACAATGGTTTGTTATTACATAAAGTATGGTTTTATAAGGTGCGACCTTTTATGCTTATGCTTATCAATGATTAGTGTTTTTCATTGTATCACTATTTATCCAAGCACAAAGTTTTCCCCCTAAATGTCACATCTAAAAGAATCCTTACCAGTACATGCTTGCAGCGGCTGACAAATTATTCTGATATTTCTCTACTGTACGTCAAAGAAGTCTCCACCAAGTTAGCACTTCAATTGCCACATGGCTAATGCTACTAGACTGTCAAACTCATATGAGGATTGCCAGAACTGAAAAAGATCGTCATTTGCAACTAATAGATGGAGTGTCATACAGACTTCATAAAAATTATCCTTTGTGATGTTGGCAGATTAAAAGAAAAGGATGATTACATATCTTAACTACTGTTAGAAGTTGTAAACACCATGCCAGAGACAATTTCAGTTTGATAAATAAAGACATTTCCTATGGTTTCTTACAATTACTAGTATTACTTTTGTTGGGATTTGTGATTTAAAACATGAAAATTGAAAGTTTTAACAAAAAATAACGAATGATTTTCATAATAAATGTCATACATCCTTCTTGCAAAACGTATATGAAATGTACTTTTCATGAAAGATGGAACTTTTCTTTATTATTTGAAAAAACAGAAGAATAGTTTTAACTTAAAAAATTTACATTTTTTATGATTTATTTCTGTTGAACTATTTTAACACAAAATAGCTTGGCACTCTGAAATAGTGGTTTCAATAATGCTTGTCACTGAGAGTTAATAATGTATGCTGTATCACATTTAACATTGCAGGTAAGTACACTTAACTATGAATGTCAGATTCACCAGTTTGATCATTGCATGTACAACAACAGTAACCTTTTCTATACCATCATGGGACAAAAAACTTTTTATAAATACATGTTCTGACATTACCTTCCAAAGTGTTTCTTATTTCTTTGATGTCTTCCAAGCCTTGACTTCTCTAAGAATCCTCTCCCACAAAAGTCACAAACGAAGGGCTTTTCACCGGTATGTGTCCTTACGTGTCTCACTATTTCTCTTCTTGAAGAGAATCCTTTCCCACAAACGTCACATTTTAATGGTTTTTCTGCAAAATGTGTTCTATGATGTATCACAAGACTTCCTCTCTCTGAGAATCCTGTCCCACAAATATCGCATTTGAAAGGCTTTTCACCAGTGTGTGTCCTTCCATGCCCAACAAGACTTCCTTTCTGAGAAAGCGCCTTGCCACAAATGTTACATAAGTAAGGCTTTTCACCAGTGTGTGTTCATTGATGTATCACAAGACTTAATTTAAAAGAAAATTCTTTACCACAAGTATCACAAGCATAAGGTTTTTCACCCATGTGCATTATTTGATGTCTTACAAGACTTTCCTTTTTCGTAAATCTCTTATCACAAAGATCACATTTGAAAGGGTGCTCACCTGTATGTGTTCTATTATGAGCCACGAGATACCAAGTCTGTAAGAATGCTTTTCCACAAAACTCACATTTGAAAGGCTTGTGTGTTCTTTTATGCCTAATAAGATCACCACTCCTTGTAAACCTCTTTCCACAAATTCCACATATAAAACGACTGTCTTTAGAGACAGAGCACCAGTGTTCACCAAGATTGTCACTACATGAAAAACCTTTGTTGCAAATATCACATCTGAAAGGTATCTCTTTCCTTGAAGGACTGGCACCCTCTTCAATGGCTACTTCCACGACACTGTAAAATCAATGTACTGCATTATTACAATTGTATATTATTCTACATGTCACAGCAAAAGGTCATTAAATACACATGTTATTAATAGTTTACTTAATAATGGGACATGTTATAAATCCTTTCAAAATGTTCTGAATTAGAGTGTACCTCCTTAGTAGCAAAATATTAACAATGTACTCAGCAAAGAATATAGAATTTGATTATACATACTACACTTTCAAATAATTGTAATAAAATATATTAGATTCCCTTATGAATTAAGTTTTGTATGAGGACTTTCAAAACAATCTTCTAGGCACAGTCATCACACTCCAGGCATCAAAATCTTTTTATCTTCCTTTTTTCCATATTTGGTGGTGCACAACATGCTTTTTTTTTCTGTGGTGTAAATTTTTTCCCACAGGGAGGAACTTTACAAATGTATATAGATAGGGATTAGCTCTATCGATTGGGCCCAACAGAGTAGGTTACCTGAAGACGGAGACAGACTCCCATCTCCGAAATGTCATTCAATTTTATTATTTTATTAGACGATGGAAAACATTTAAATAATGCACCATCGTCACAAACTTTTAGATTTGAGGTTTACAAATGAAACATCTCTCAATCATGTAACATGTTCTGTCACATGGTGATCAATAATTCATACTCACTGTTGCCAAACTCCCTCCACTAAATTAATTCTGAATGCTAGTTGTTCAATAGGATTTCTAGTGTCTTGACTATAAATTATCATGGAATTCAGCACTTGGCATTCAGAAGTCTCCTGAATAACTTCCTGTCTAAAACGTACATTTGTATATGGAGTAATTTTGCTTAGTATGCTCTCTTCTCTTACTACTGTATAATGTGAGCTTGTTGACTGGACATGTCCTATATCACTGTAAAGTGATCAAAGGATGAACAATAACAATTTCTTTTGTCATGCCACATCATTACTGTCACTGATCCAGAGTGCTGGGCAATCATTTCTCCCTTCTTCATAATAGTTCTTCTTGGGCTACCAGCCATGTAAGGTAGCTTAATGAAGGTTACACAGCTGGTAGCCCTAGAACTTATTATACTTAGTCGCTGTGAAAGCTTCAGATCAGTTTACCATCTTTGACTACCCTGGGAATAACCTTCCTGTTAATTTTTAGACCCAACACAATCAGTGCCCTTGTGTTTCAGCAGCATGGCCACAGATGGAGAATTGAATCAAGTATCTAACTGGAGTATATGACCATTTCCTATCAAGGGTTCCACTACATGTAGAACAATGGCTGCTGATTTGATCATCTCTCGTTTTTTTGAGAAATGATTGAAATTATGTCTTCCAAGAGAGATCATAAATATCCTGAACTATATTCACACAATTCATGTCTTTAAGCCAAATTTAGCTGATTGTGTTGTGCTGTCCTGTGTACAGGCAGAGGCCTTGCGATGGGCCGATCACTCGTCCAAGGAGTCCTATCGAATGTCTATATATCACAGCCAATGAAAGTTGGGACCCGCAGTACTTAAGTACTTGAAGAACAGGACGTCAAAGTATCAAAGTAAACTAAGTTAGCATAGGTAGTGGACACTGTATAATTCTTGTCCCCACTCGAGTTGTGCTGAAGTATCAACTTGTAAAGAAATATGAACTCTTCTCATTCTTACTATTAAACATGTTCTGTATTTCATTGTCATTGCATTTTTGCATTACAAGTTTCATAATTTTGCCTAATTTATCTCATCTTGGCTACAAATATACCCTAGATATGGCATTTAAAATTAAATGAGTTTATATTAATCCTAACCTTACATATTTTTTCATTGTCTCCCATCATCATAACTATCATCCTATATCTACTCTGAGTGATATCATCGAAGGCCAGGTTGAAGGAAAGCGAAGACTGGGAAGAAGACTGATACAGCTAACCGACGATCTTAAACAAGGAAAGAAGATGAAGTTTCAGAAGTTAAAACGAGAAGCTGAGAATAGGGAAAACTGGAGAGCTCTTTTTGGGCAGAACAATGGACCTGTCATCAGACAGAACACTAAATAATAATATACTATATCTACTACACTCTAACAAACTACAGTCTTTGTGCTAAATCCAGTATTAGTTTATAATACTTGTCCAGAAGATTACCTGTTTCGTCTCCATTAATATTATTATTATGCCTCTAAAATTCTATTTCATGAAATATAAATTCAGGTTACATCCTTCCTAGCAGACAAATGACAGAACCAATATCAGCAAGTTCTCAGAGGATAATAAATAGTAATGAGTGTAGTTGTACAGCTAAGATTGAAATGAAGGTAAAGTCAGCATTACAGTACTAATTTTTACATCAGCCAAACTGAGTGGATAATATTCATAAGTACTGAAACTATAATCATTACGGTCTACTTGTCTAAATTTTTCAGTGGAAAATGTAGTCAGAACATTCACCTTACAGAGATTCAAAGGAAAATACAGCACAGTCAGAGATTTTCCATGAGGTACAAACACACTGTGCTAAAATAATAATCAACATGAACAGGATTTATATTGTAACTACCTACTTTATGATGTTGATAAGCATTTAAAATGCCTGCTGAAATTTAGCATGTAATGACTTGAATGATTTCTTTCATATTTCCATCCCTCACCCCCTGCCTTCCTCTCCTTCATTATTTCCATAACGTTATCCCCTTTCTTACAGAGGAGTCTAACACTATACAAATTACATTTTATCACAACTGTCCATCTCCACTGCTATTGTATCAATCACAATTTCTTGCAGTAATTTCTGTGTATTTATGCCCATTTCTTCTACAGTTTGTCGAGACATACTCATTGAATATCTTTCCTTTAGTTTCTGTAGTCTCCTTCCTCTTTGTTCTATAGTTTTTAAAATCTCCTCCTTGCCTGAATTTCTTTTGATCCTGTAGTCTTCTTTCTCTTTGGTCCATAGTTTCTTAAGATCTTCTCTTTGCACTTCTTTGCTTTTGTTCCAGAAGTCTATTTTCTCGTTCTTCTGCAGTGTCTTGCATTTTTCTGTTTGTATCTCCTCTCATTCTATGTACCTTTTGGTTTGTCTCTCCTACACTGTCACTTTCTTTACATCTTTTTCTATGTTATATATTTTCTACAGTTTGTTCAGATATTCTCATTGCATATCTTTCCTTTTGTTTCTGTAGCCTTTTTTCTCTTTCATCAATAGTTTCTAGTGCTCTTCTCTTTGCATATCTCTCTCTCTTTTTCTGTAGCTTTTGTTCTGTTAGTTCAAAACCATCAATTTCTTTCTTTCTTTTTCTCTGTTCTACATTTTCATCTAATTTCCTCTGTCCCATTTGTTCTGTCACCCTATGTACATCACTTGTTGCATTTAGTAACAAAGCGCCACAATGGCCTATGTCAAGATCACAGATATGTTTCTTTCGCTTACAACTTGAGAAAACACCTTATTGAGTGGTGTTATGTCTTTGCATTCATTTTGAACATAAATACATTGAAACTGAATTATTACAAGAATTCAAAATATTCAGAAAAGATATTCTAATGAATATTAATTATAGGCAATTAAACCTTCAGAAAATGTATAATTGCCACCAGAATCATACAGGGAGTTATGAAGTTTAATTTATATTACTACTTATACTGTAATCATTTAAATTAAACTTGTATATATTCTATGGTACTGAAAAGGACACTTGTCTTACTGAAAATTAACATTAAATTCATAGAAGAAAGAAATTTACAAGTTAGTAACTGTGGGAATGTGTATCTTTGAATAAACATGGCGTCAAAACACTGTAGCGGCAATAAACTCTTTCTAATGAAGGTCATGACAACATACATATCAAGATATATCCACTGCAGTTATATATGATGACTTCAATGTTACACAGTAATAACATTTGATGAAGATTTCCTTCTTCTGGGTTATTGCGCTGTGTAGTCTGGTCGATGTTAACCAATGTTTCAGAGGTCATACTGCCTCCGTCATCAGGATGCTTGTCTAGTGCTTATTTTATCCATGCGTACAAGGACCTTAAAACATTTTTACAGGAACAAACCTAAGAGGTCTATTAATTTAACCACTATATCACAACTTGTTTCACAACACACAGTATCCATCTTGATGCCACAAGCTGTGTGAAAGAAAGAATGCCAAGTATCTCATGCTCATTTTCCTATGAGTGGCCTGTATTAGGGCAATGGAAAATTAATTAATTGTTGAATATCAACTGCTTACAGAGGACTATCAAATATTAATTTGGTTGTCTGTGTGAACTTGTAGCAAGCGAATACCATCATTATGAAGGGACATCTTCACTGCACTGGGAATCTCAAATCTCACTAATTCACTAGCACAGAATAATAAAAAAAATGCAATGAGTAAACTGAATAAGCTATAAAAAAATAAATATATTGATTGGTCATAAGCATGATTAACGTGTGGTTCCAGAACAACAAAAATATTTCAAGTGAACATTAATTGTTAATCAAAATTCTGTGTTGCAGTTTACACCAAAGAACGCAACTGGCAGAGAAACTACCATGTTACCCCACTCCAATTTATAAAGGGACGCAAAAGGGAAGGAATAAAATTGCGGGGAAGTGAAACATGTTCTGATGTTGGTAGGGTGAGGAGAAGTAGTGGTAGAGAAGCCACATTAACTTTTCTTTATTATGATATAGGGGAGACAGGTAACAGCAGCCTATAGGTAATGAGAACCAGCACTATATTACAAACAAAGATGAGTTTAAAGTGGTTTGAAAGGTGCTGTCCTCTATAGCTCTGAAGTATAAACAAACTTGCCAGTGGAAAGCAACATTCAGTTACAGGTAGTCCTTCGACCACCACTGACAACTTTTCTGTTTCCACTACAAAAGTGATGCATTACAAAATGCACCATAAATAAATTTGATAAAGTATTTTAATTATTTTACCAATGTGTAAGCATGTCAAAAGGCATTTAGTTGTAACGGTTTGTAATAAATATGGAAGTTATATTCTGTAATTATCTTCAAATGTTACTTGATGTCAATCAGAAATTTATGGAAAATGAGAACAACCTTCAGCTGCCATCACCCCAATGCTGGTTCTCATTATTATACAATCGTTTATATAGCAAATGAAAATGCCTGCATATTATTATTTAATGAAACTCAGACTGTAACTACTGTCCTTAATTTTGTAGATACCTCAGAACAGAAAAACTATTTAAAGGCTGCATGGAAAATAAAATTTAGAAATGGCAGTCAAGTTTTTTGGGGAGGGTGGAAAGCCTATTCACCGAGCAGTCAAGGACAGTGGAATACATTATAGTGCACTTCAGAAAAGGCAGAAAGAGGGTCCAGTGTCTGCTCCTAAAATAAGAAAGAAATGTGCAAAATTTTCATTGAATCTTCTGATTTATTGGATTTCATTTGTTCTTAATGTACATATTATGTGGTTCTCATTTCTCTATGTAATCCTTTTAAATTTATCCTCTGTGTCATAATGAATTGTTTTAATTGAAAAAATATATACAAAATATGAATATTCAGTTGTTTGTTAATACTTCAGTGATTAAAATGTGGCTTGTAATATTTCTTTTACTTCAACTTTTCCTTAGGTACCTCAAATTTAACTGATCTACCCTACAGCACAAATATAATATTATTCAAGACTATTATCAGCATTCCAGTGGATGTTCAAAATTTATTTGCTACACCTATATTTGAAAAAATATGGTATACCAAGGAAATGAAATTTTCATGAGAGTCAGTAATTAACTGAAATATCAAAACTTTGCCAACCTGTTCCACATACAGCTTTCAGCAAACTGACGCATATGCCACTTGCACAGCACATTTCAGTAGGTAAACTTGATCAAGTTTACAATGCAGACAAAACCTAAAGGTCACCAAGATTAAGTATATGTCTGGTCACTGGGGCCTGGCATTACAGAACAATGGATAATATCAGCCCTACTACATATTACATAATTTCAATGTTTCCCCTAAGGCCTCTGTCATCAGGGCGATGAATATTCATCACCCTGATGACGGAGGCAGTATGACTTCTGAAACGTTGGTTAACATCGACCAGACTACACAGCGCAACAACCCAGAAGACAGAAATCTTCAGGTTACTTGAAGACAACTGTGGACCAAGACTCAGCATATGAAGATCATGCAGGGATGGTAGCATCATATTTAAGTGATAAGTGATTGGTGTACATGGAATTACTGAAAGTATGTGTCCAATATAACATCCTTGTAAAAAGTTTAAATTAGGTATGAAAATGAAGCCCAGAATATAATATTATTTTTAAAGTGACGGAATCGAATTTTTGGGTGTTTAATAATTTATAACTGACCACAACGAGCTCAAGGTGCCCTCACATGCGCACGTCATATGACTGCACTGCGCAACAACGTCTGCGCAGGTGCCCCACTAACCTAACCTAACCTAACACAAACCAACCAAAACGGGGTAATCTCGATCAGTGAAATACGACTTCCTGCGCACGAATTTTGGGAAAAGCGAATAATGCTCAGAATTTATTGAAATTTTGTATGGACGTCATGCCACAGGTAAGTTAATGATATTCATACTCTATTAAGTCTTATAGCTTTTTATAAATTCGCACGAAGGCATCAAAGTCGTGAGGTGGAGGATGCGCAAAGTCGGCCACGACCATTTACTAATAACGATATTACGCGCTCACACAATCCCCATATAACACAAATAGTGCTTATATGCGTGTAATACATCAAAACACGTCTAAAACTACATAATGTTTCAACAAGAATTGCTTCTTGCAAAATTGATGCAGTGTAGATGTTGACGGAAACACGGGGCAGATTCATGCGTAACGTTGACCCAATCTAACTCACTATAAATAAGTATCATGTAACTAAAGAATCCGAATAAACATACGTTAATGATAGTACGTCATTTAATAATATAACTCGCCTCACAAAAATAACTCATTATAAGTCTCTGGTACATTATTTGCAATGCATGGTGGACGCGGAATTCGAGGCGCACGTCAAACTTCTGGTAACATATTGGTGTCCTATGTCAAATGTCAACAAAATATATCGAAAATATTACCTTACATTTACTCGAGGACGCGGCGTACAAACAAAAAAACGCAGTCTCCCGGAAAAATACGGAACCAAAGATAAGACGTGCCATCTGTGAAGACCTCAATGGAAAGAAATCAATACTTTCGAATAGCATCGAGGACCAATTAGAAGTCAGTCAGTATTATTCACTGCCTTGGAACAGTCGGCTGATCCAGATTG